TTCATATCTCCTGCTCTGTGCTGCATGTATGTGTGTGCTCGGTGCAAAAAAACCTCCGACACACTCGTCAATGAGAGCGTCACTGCCAACTACTGTAGTGGATGTGCAATTACACTTTATTCTAGTACGACAAAAAAAAGCATGTTCCCTAAGGTCACGTGCCCCCCCTGACATTGCATCACCCTTAGACTGTATAAAAAACTGGACTAAGCTCAAATGAAGCTCGCGATGCTAACGGTTACAGGAGTGAATTTGGAGCCAGATTCCATATTAATAGGATTTTTTTTGATGGACAAAATAGCGAAAAAACAAACATTATAAAACCAATATGACAAGACTCACAGCAGAAGTTACAGCAAAAGGGACGGTAATATTCCAATGTAAGTCAATTGGAGCCAGGGTAAGAAGGAGCCAGAACAGCCCAAATGTGAACTTCCTATTTGGAACGCGGGGGCTAGCACGTTAGCTAAGTCCATTTATATATGCGGTCTATGGGCGCGTCCCACTATTTGAGAAGGACTGGCTTAAAGTAACACTGTGTAACACCTGCATGATTCCACAGAAATAGAAAGTTAAAACCATACTTCTGAACATTCCCTATAGAGATAGAAGGTTTATGCCAGACTGTGGAATATTATAGCCAAAGGAAAAACATTTCTACATTATTCTTTAACAAGCAGGATTCAGGTTTGTGGAAATGCACAGACTAAGACACTTTGGGGTAAAAAGTTATGCAGTGGGGATTTAATGTGTGATCATACAGATATTTTTCCTCATTCCCCAGTATTTGACTGAGCATCCAAATATAGCACTAAAATATACAATCAAAGAGCCTATATAAAATATGATCTAGGTTATAATGTTTTGTTTTTTGTCTTCTCATTAAAAACATACCTGGAGTTGTTTCATTCACACATATTTAGACTGTAAACACAGAACTCCCAGTACATTTTTGATGCAGTAACAGCATTATAACATGACTAAAAGCTCACAGGAATCCCTTGTGTGCAATATGGGACCTCTGAACTAGCAGATGATTTACTTTGCCCATTCCTTTGTTCCCAAGTTACCATGTTCAGCTCTCAATGCTCTGCCCGCTTTTATATGACATGTAATAACCTATGGAAGGACCCTGTACAGTAGTTTGTGCATTAGCTCTGTTTTCCACTCATGTACGTTATGTGACAAGGTGGCACCTTCAAGGACACTTTTTTTCAACTTCTCAAGCAACCTTTACGCTTGTTAAAGTTAAAGCTCCTGCAAACGTGTAAATAATTGGAGGGCTTGGCAGTTGTGTTCTGTGTAGTGGGATATAATCTAGCTAGTTGAAGTTTTTTTTTTTTTATTGTTTTTTTTTTCCCCAGAGGATGGTCCACAGATAATGCACATAAGAGAACAAGAGAGTCCAATGGTCATGTGTTCAAATTAAAAGTGATAGATGTGTCTGTGAAAGATAAGAGGTTTTCTGCACGTGTGTTCGGAATGTGATGCTGATAAGTTTGTGTACAAGAAATAAAAAAGATAACTATGACACTAGATAAATATGTTGTATTTATCAGTATTTATCAAATTAAAGGTGTTTTGCTAAATGTAAAAAAAATATAAAAATTAGACAACAGTAGCAGGAGTGTCCCCTGATCTAAAGGTTGGTATATTGAATCCAGCTCTAAAAAAATCAAAACAAACAAAACAAAACAAAAAAAATCAGAATTGGTTGAGTGATCAGATCCACTGACCCACAGGTTGGCGATGTGATTCCAGCTCCCACAGATGATGAATGCTGTCATTGTGTCCTTGGACAAAACCCACTTCACCCCCTGGTGAGTGAGTGTGTGTGAGTGTGTGTGTGTGCCTGCGTGCGTGTGAATGGGTGAGTCGTTCCTTGGTATAAAGTTCTTTTAATGCCTTGAAGGTGGAAAAGTGCTGTATAAAAATATGACCATTTACGATTTGAAACACACATTTTCAACATAAGCGGCGTCGCCCCTGACAGATCCGACCTTTAACTTGGCATGGAGACAAGCATGCTTCCATGCCCTCTAGCAGAAATATTACTTTAATTTTCAGAAAATACTTCAACTTGAGACAAGATTGACTTTTACCCTTTAGTAGATAATACTTAACTTGTAGGGGCGGCAGTAGCTCAGTTGGTAAAAGTGTTTGAACTGAAGGTTGACGGATCGAATCCTGCTCTAGACATAAAAAAAAAAAAACATCATTGGTTGAGTGATCAGATGCACTAACCCACAGGTTGGCAGTGCGATTCCAGCTCCCACAGATGAATGCTGTTGTTGTGTCCTTAGGCAAAACACTTAACCCACCTCGCCCCCCAGTGTCTGCGTACACTGGTGTATGAATGTATGAGCTTTGAGCGGCTTGAAGGTGAAAAAGTGCTATATAAAAGGTGATTTACCCAAAATATAAAGTCTGACAAATGTAAATCAAATACACAACAAATTTAAAATTATTCTTAGGACAAAATAATGTGTGATTATGCAGCCAAATGCTGTTCAAACTTATAACCAGGTGCATACAAATCTGCAGACTTCTTCTCAAAATGGATGGATATTATAGCACCCTAACTATCCATAATTGTTTAGCTTTGATTTCACAAGTGGAGCAGAGCATGTGATTGTTTTATGAGAAGAATGCTGTTCTTTGGGGCTGTCACTGCCAAAGTATGCACTTAGAAAACCTGAGTGGCTCTAGTCAAATTACTGTGTCAATACTGAATATGCTCCAGCCGCTCGTCTGCTTATTCACCCTCCGTGATCTGCATCTCACACAGCTGGGCACTGGGTGGATGGAAAATATTCTTTATTTGATATCACTACAAAAAAAAAAGAGGTTATTTTACGGTGTTACAGAGTTTGGTTTCTTGATTTTGGTTTGGTCTTCAAGCGGGTATATGGTTAAAGTGAAAAGTGGATTAAAATACATAATGAATCTAGACTTGATTTACTCCTGTTTTAGCCCATTTTTAGTCCTAGTTTAGTCCAAGTTTTGTTCATGTTTTTCTTTATGTATCGTAAAAACAAGTTTGAATAGATCCTTACTCAGTGTTGGGGAGTAACAGATTACATGTACCGGAGTTACGTAATCTGAATACAAATTATGAGTAACTGTATTCAGTTACAGTTACTGTTTCAATGAGTGGTAATTAGATTACACTTACTTTGTTGAAATAAATGGATTACACAGCGGTACTTTCCTGTTTTCAAATTTTGGGCTATACCCCCCCTTTCTTTTTTTTTTCTAAACCAGGTCTAAACCAGGACTAAACCAGGTCTAAACTAGAGCTAAACCAGATCTAAACCAGGTCTAAAACTGGTCTAAAACCAGGCCTAAAACCAGGGCTAAACCAGGACTAAAACAGGACTAAACCAGGATTAAACCAGGTCTGAACTAGATCTAAACCAGGTCTAAAACAGGTCTAAAACTAGGTCTCAACTAGATCTAAACCAGGACTAAACCAGGTCTAAACCAGGACTAAACCAAGACTAAACCAGGACTAAACCAGGTCTAAAACAGGATTTAACAGGACTAAATCATGCCGTGTGGACGTGTCTCCTCCTCTTCTATCAATAATATGTTTAATTTGGTTCAGTAAAGTCTGGGCTTTTTATTTTCTTTTAACAGACAAAACATCTTGTGAAGATATTCTCATCTTTGCTTCTCTACAGCAAATCAAGTAATCCAAAGTATTCAGATTACGTTACTCACCTTAAGTAACTTAATGGATTCCGTTACAAACTACATTTTGGGGTATGTAATCTGTAATCTGTAGGGGAATACATTTTAAAAGTAACCTTCCCAACACTGTCCTTACTTCATTCTACCAAAATAAAAAAGCAACAACACACAAGTAAAATTTAAAATATAGATATTTATTTAAACATTGTATAAAATATTGCAAAAATAATGATTTTGTTCAACTTAATTCCAGGTTATAGTGGTTGGTTACTCTTATATTCAAAGTTAAGACATTTGTTTGTTTTTGGTGTTGCATTATTGCCTTTACAGTGTTACTTGAACTGATTGGTGACACATTGCTAATTCAATTCTGCTTTATGCATGTCTACAGTAGCATAACCGTTAAGAAAATAAATGTGTACAAATTCTTGGACGTTATCGTGATATAGAATGATACAATCTTTTAGTTGACAAAATGCATCGGGGGTGTCTGCATAATAAATACTGAATCACAAGGGTATACCATAACCATAATAGAAACAGTACAGTGTTAAAGGTGCACTATGGAACTTTTCTGGCAACAGGTCCACCGCCACCTGCTTGTCATCACGAAGATTAGGGCTGGGTATCATTGAGAAGTTGCCAATACGATACATACCTCGATACAGTTCACTTTCGGTTTGATACGATTCAGTAAAAAAATCATGACTGTGATACTTTGTTAAACCACTTTTTGTGCAAAGTTCATATGAAACATGCCCATTTTAACCATCAAAACATTGAAAATGTCAAATGTTTTGCTTAAAGGGTTTCCTTCAACTAAACAACCAACAAAACTGTAGCACTGTAACAAAATAATTTAGTAAAATATACCAAAAAATACTCTTGGCTATATATCGATATATCGATACTGTATCATCACATTAAATGATACGATATATCGATATTTCAATGTTTTTGTACACCCCTAATGAAGGTATTACTGCTTTGTCTGAAATGTTCCACAAAATGGTATTATATTTTTCCATAGAGACAAACAGACCGAGTTGCAGGAAAGATCTTTTCACATTGATAATCCATGTTTTTAAAGTTTTTTCAAGCAACAAAACACTTGTGTAACTGAACAAAAACGGCAAGATAGATTTGTTTACATCTCTATGAAGACAAGCAAGTGACAGAGCCCCCATTACTCCAGAAAAAGTTACATTATGCATCTTTAAAAAGTTTACCCATATCAAAATAGCAGAATTAGTTTTTTTAACATAAATTTCTTTAGACAAGCCTCACTCTTCCATAGTCCACATCCATCAACAGTCTTGGTCTTTTACCATAGTGAAAAAGAAAGTGCAGAAAGTTGACCAGGCGTGTTTGCAGTATTCTTGTGCTAGCTTCTTGTTAGCCGGCTGACAGGACCTGACAGCTGGGGGTGACGGCTTGGGACCGCTACGTGGGCCGGCCTTGCTGTCTGCCTTCCCCAACCTGAAATGAGCATCTCTCGGAGCCTTTCTACACATCCCTGCTTTTACCAACGCATTGCTATCCTGACACAAATCCTTCTGTTTCTTTAGACTCCGCGCAATCTGCCTCCAGTAGAGTTTGGGATTGCCGGCAAACTGCGCGCACAGATTTGGTCGGGCTACATAATCACAGCTAATTCTCTTCCCCGCTTTCTTGCAGGTCACGCCCAAGGTGAAGACGTCGTCGCCCGTAGCAGCCCAAGTGCACTCGGCTTTGTCTTTGGTCACAGTCTTTCCCCTGATGGGCTGAGGGGACCTGGCTTGCCGGGGTGTCCTGGCAGTCCTGCGAGCATTGGCGAGCGCCTGGTGGGAGACGCAGGCCAGGATCAGCAGGATGGTGGCGTTGGTGAGGAAAGCCATGGAATCTGGGCTAAAACCTGCAAGCGGATAAGGAGGGATTTAGGTTGGTGACCCCAGTAGACATTTCATTCTTTGGTTTAATTCTTGGACAGTTATAGGGCTCATCTAGAAAGTTGCATTCTGGTACCTTTATAGGCTTAAAGGTGCAATACTTTTCTGCATGGAGATGTTATTGCTTTGTCTGGAATGTTTCACAGACATGGAGACCAAACCAGACCAAGTTACAGGTCAGGACTTTGGAGAGGCGATCCAACTCAAAATCAGAATGCCTGTTTTTCTGGGTATTTTTGAGCTATAAAACCACCTCTAATTCTGTGAAACTTTGCAAGCAGAGCAGTGACATCCCCACTGAAAAAGCAGGCAATGGACTCCCAAATAAAAAGTTACACAGTGCACCTTTAAGGTAAAAAAAAAAAAAAAAACAGTCTTAAAAGCATATTTTTTTGATAAGGACGATAATTATATATACAGTAGTTAAGTATGCAATAATAAATTCATCATTGTCTATGTTCACAATTCAAATAGCCTTTGGCCTATTGGTACTTTATAATGACATTACTCTGGGGGTGTTCTACATATATCTGTATCTTATGGCCTGTTCAGCAGTTACCATGGTGACACAATGCACACATTAGCAAACACTGCCAAACAAGTTGGTAGCAAGACTGTCTGAAAACTCAAGAAAAAATACAATGGATTTAAAATAGCACATTTTCAGGAGTCTTTGATGAGCGTTCATGGGTCTGTTTAGGTGTTTGATTTTCAACAAAAAGGTGACAGTGTCAAACTGAAAAACTGTTGACTCATGCTGGCTATCTTGTGACTTGTAATTTTATGTGTGAGAAACTTGTTTAACAGCACAAATCATCTCACCTGTTGTAGTTCCATTTAAATCATTTTTTTATGGTCAGATTGTGTTAAAGTAAAACTCTGATTAAAACACAATTATGGAAATCCTGGAAAAGTCATGTAAATTGAAAATGTCATGTCATGGAATTTTGTAAATACAATGAAAGTTTTGGAAAACTCATGGAATTTTAGTATCGTTCACGCAACTAGAGCATTCTGTTAAATTATCATTAGGCTATTATGATTATTTCCAGATGTGTGTGCCTTTTGTTTAAAAGAGACGACAATAAATGCACTGACAGTATTTTGAATGTTAAAAAACTATAATACCAAACCATAAGGTGAGTGGAAAGGGTTAACATTTTATAATTAACCCTAAAAGTATGATCAATTCTACACATGGAGGTGCTTTAAAGTCATGGAAACTTCTTCACTTTAGATCATCAAAAAGTCATGGGAAAGTTTTGAAATTTTGTCAGCGAAAAAGAGTGGGAATCCTGTTAAAGTCTACCAAGCCGAGAGCAGTACCTAAAGTTAGCATCACCCCCGTTGATGACATTAGCTGCAAATATTAATACACTTATGCCGATTTAAGCCCTTTCTCCACTCTGTTCATGGGTTTCAGATTCATTTTAAATTGTTAATTGCTACAGCAACGGCAGTGACCCTTTTCATCATTCTGAAGCCCATGGATAGCTGTTATATGATACCTTTAATAATAAGTGTTAGATTCCTTTTTATTACATTCTAAAATGTCAAAGCCCACTGGTTCTCAAACTTTTTCTTACCAAATATCACCTAAGAAAAGAAAGAACTGGCTTTCCGAGTACCACGAAATCCAAACCAAGTATTTAATAGAACTGTTCCAGGTTTAAACTATGGCTACATCATTGCTGCACTATTTCTAACCAAGAAATTACCCAAAGGAGGAATAAAAAGCAGATACAATTGACTAAAAATCAACCAACTATGAGAACTGTTTGCGTAAAAATAATTAGCTTTATATTCTGAACATATTTCTCCTTTGTACATGCTTCACGGTAAGGTTAAGGTTGAAGTATCTTAAATGATTTCCCCCTTATGAAAAGCAATGAGTTACACCCACACAAATAAACAACAGATAGAAATAGCTCTGGGTTGTTTACATACATATGTGTCATATGTCAAAAAAAACAATAAATACATAAATGAATAAAAATTTAAAAATAATTAAAAAGTAAAATATTGTTTTTTGGTTTTTTTTATGTTAGATATTTGCACTAGAACACCAAATAAGAACCCTTGAACTTTGCATAGTTGCATTTTTAACAACATGCAACAACCTTGGAGACCTTTGAAACATTTCACTTTCTATATGCACATACATAAATAGAAACCAATGTTCACTTCTACTCCATTGGCAACAGTCCTAACCAGCCAGTCACATATCACAAGCTCAATTTAACCCACTCAAGAAATCCTGGATCTTATGGGCTCGTATGGAATTGCCATGGAGATTAGACTGACAATGCAAACACAACATAAACAAAGTAATGACAAAGAATCCATAGCCTGAATACATCATGTACCCGTAGCCTTAGTTTGATGCATATATGCAATTTAAAGTGGTTCCCACAAGTGACTGGCCGGATCTCCATTAACATACATTATAAATTAGCTCATGCAGTATTAGCCTTTCAGATTAAACACCCCAATCCAAATGAATGAGTGGAAGAAATGAATCACAACTTGCTGTACGTGCATAACTTAAACTTTGCCAGCGACCACGTTTTAAGTAATAAAATTAGCATGTAATCAAGCCTTATCATAGAATTACCATGTAAGTACTCACCTTTTCTTAGTAGAGGCACGGGGGTAATCTTAAGTGACAGACTGCACTGATTTCTTGAAGAATTCTTGAAGTAGTCTGCAGTAAATTGACTTTTAAAGGTTTTTTTTTTTTTCTTTTCATAAAAAGATGCAAATGACTGTGAGCCTTCTAGGACTTTCCCCGGACCATCTGGAAGTACACTGTGCCAATGATGAAGTGGCTGGAAAGGGGGAAAAATGTTGGGAAAAAACTCAAGTCTAGGCAGGACAAAATCACTGTAGTTCAGTACGAGCGTCTGGGGGTGTTGTACTAGTGGCACCCGCAGGTTTGTTATGGTACTACAACAACTAGACACTTTTATAGATATAGATTATAGAATAACCTTTAGAAATGAGACTTATTGATGTGCTCTCGACTATGCAGTTCATGGATTGCATTTTTATACTGCAGATCTTAAAATTCTGGTCATGGAAAAAATAATAACAGCAGTAGCAGTAGCAGTAGTAATGGTAGTAGAGGTGGTAGTTGTCACGTATGACTGTACAGTGTATAATTCATTGCATTCTTAATCTGCAAATCTAAAAATCATGTTGTAGTAGTAATAGTAGTAGTAGTAGTAAAGGTAGCAGTGGTAATAGTAGTAATAGTGGTAGTAGATTTGGTGGTGGTAGTAGGTGTTATAGTTGTAGTAATAGTAGTAGTAGTAGTAGTAGTAGAGGTGCTAGTTGTCACTTATGGCTGTACAGTGTAAAATAAAAATACATTAAAAAAATAGTAATAGTAGTAGTAGTAGTGGCAGTAGAGGTAGTGGTGGTAGTTGTAGCAGCAGCAGCAGTAGTAGTAGTAGTAGTAGCAGCAGCAGTAGTAGTAGTAGTAGTAGTAGCAGTAGTAGTAGTAGTAGTAGTAGTAGCAGTAGTAGCAGTAGTAGTAGTAGTAGTAGTAGCAGTAGTAGTAGTAGTAGTAGTAGTAGTGTTATGACTCATGGTAGTAGAGGTGGTGGCGGTAGTTGTAGCAGTAATATTATTAGTACTAGTAGTAGTGGTGGTAGTAGTGGTAGTAGTTGTAGTAGTAGTAGTAGTAGTAGTAGTGGTAGTGGTTGTTGTGATGGTTTTAGTAAGAGTAGTATTAGTAGTAGTAGTGATAGAGTTGGTAGTTATTGCTTTTGATGTATAATGTATAATTCAAGGATTGCATTTTTATATATAAAAACAATAATAGTAGTAGGAGTATGAGTAGTAGTGGTTTCAGTAGTAGTAGTAGTAGTAGTACTTGTAGTAGTAGTGGCGTTGTTAGAGTTTTGTAGTTGTAGCAATAATAGCAAAAGGATAAGAATTTACAGTCAGTATTTACTATCTGTATTATTTATGCATTTCAGAACAGTAAAAGTAGTTCATAATAGTAATTCTGTGTTTCTTTGGATTAATTTGGGTTTTTCCATGCAGCTGTGTATAATTACAGTATATAGCATCATTATTTTCGAAAACATATTAATGTGCATTTTGGTGTTACGTTTAATGTGGTCCAGAAGACCCAGTGGAAAAATGGTGATTCGAGCCCTTCAAAGTATTGTTTGTTTTTTTGAGTGGAACTTACATGTTATTACTATGGTTGAACATAATGAAAGGGCTCCCAGTTGCTTTTAGGATAAGTTTTAGCATTTTATTGATTGATTTTATTGTTTTTAAATGTTTGAATTCCTTAGAACTTGCTTTAGTCTTCTCCCAGAGCCCCCATCTACAGATCAGTTCTTCCTGACTGACATCTCCTGACATCTTGCCCTTTCATGTCTGTAGAAGTGGTCAAAATGAAGCTAAAAACACACCTTTTGCCTTGACTTGTATCACTGTCTGTGTCCATATGCACACCAAAATCTTATTAATATTGAAGATTGTATATGGCTTGTAAACCACAACTCCAGAAATTAGATAATGATCAGATTTTTGCTGTAAACATTGACATAATTAACTGCTAAACTAGTCATATGTGATGTTACCAACTACTTGAAATTGTGTCACTGGAGCCAGGAAACAATCTTTTTTATGTATGTTTTTTTAAACCACAAAGCTAAAATTGCTCAAAATGGACTAGGAACTTTAAACAGCGGCATTTAAAAGCCATTTACAGTTAAGTAGCAAAAAGAAAAGGTTGATTTAGTATTCAGTCCCTCTTTAAATTAAGACAGGCATTTGATAAATAATGTATTTTATTTAATAACATTATTTAGTATCTTTTGTAAACATATCACATCATTCAGTACATTTCATTTATTCATAGTGTTCATGACGATTACACAAGTTATATACAAGTAAACAAATATGGTACAAGATACGCGTCCATGGCTGGCTCTGTTCACCTCATTGGTCAGAGTAGCAGTGGAGATGGCGGTGAGGTGGTGTTCTGCGGGCGTGCTTGGCTTTGTGTGGATAGCTCTGGCGGGAGGTGGTTGTGCTGTGCATGCTTGGCTGGTCAGGAGAGTGGGGAGCCAGACATTTCATTTAGATTGGAACAGTCCCAGCAATGCTTCGGTCCCCCTGAAGAGAGCGCTGTGGTTCTCCCAGCATGTTCACTGTGGAGCTGCATGAGGGAAATTAGTTGAATGTTAATGCAATGTAAAAGTATGCAATAGTTTTCAAAATAGATTTAAAAAAAAGCAACTTAATTTTTTACATTTCATTCACATGTACGCACTGCTTTTGTGTGCAACTATTTTCACGTACAATTTGTTGTACTCCTACAATCTCCTAGTAATTATTAAAAATCCAGTTTTGACTGTCCAGATTTATATAAAAATTTAATTCATATTGAAATTACACAACAGATCTTACTATTGTTATCAAAGTTTACTAAAATACTACAACACAACTACAAGTGACAATACAATTTTCAGAAATGTTATTATTTTCTGGCTCTGGCTTTTTATCAATTTTGTATTTATTTTTGGTGCTATTAAAATCATTTTCAAGCATGTGTTAAATTTCATTGTTAGTCATCTAAAACACAAATTTTCACTCACTCACCTTTTTCCTAGTCCCTAAAAAGCCCAATGACATAGGCGCAGACCCCTTGCATGGACTTCCAGCAGTAGAGCCTGGCCATCCTCTTCTTGTGTGTCTCCGGAGTGGGCGCTGGTTCCTTGTGCCCGCTCCTCTGCATCTCCCTTATGGGCCCGCTCTCTGGGTACCTGTGCCACTCTGGTCTGGTCGGAGCGGGCCTCTGCTGCACCCTTGCCTGACTCACTTCCTTTTGCCTCTCCGGTTGCCGAGGAAAGGAAGCAGCGGAGAACACCATCTGAGATTCGTCGGTGGCTTTCCGGCACATGTGCGGCTTGATCACCCTCGGAGCTTGGCAGGCGTTGTTGAGTTTTCGAAGCCCCCACATCATCTGGACGAAGTAGTGGCGAGGGTTTTTGTTGAATGAGCCACACAAGTACGGTTTACCAACATACTCACACCAATAGGATCTTTGAGGACCCTGGCAGGACAATCTAAGCTTGGTGGTCTCCCCATGCCCAGTAATTACCATGGTGCATTTGTCCTTAGCTTTGGTGTTGAACGTTATCGGGTCGTTCCAAATGTTTTGCCTTCTGTCTTGAGCGTTGGTTGCCCAGAAGGAGCAGGCGAAAAGCAGGAGGAGAAGGGAGCTGGCTTGGGTCCACATGTTGTCACTTGGTAGTTGGAAAGTTAGACTGCTCAGGGTCATGATCCTCCCAGCTATTTATTTGCGACAGAATGGAAGATTGGAGGAAAAAAAGCACAATGTACAGACAGGAGGAGGACCAAAAACACCAGTTATGGCTTTTGGAGGAAGTTGGGGTCACATGTCAAGTCAGCCAACACATTGAAAACCAAAGCTAGAGGTTATGTAATAAGTGAATAGCACGTGAAGAGTACTTTGCAGCCAGTGGCAAATTGCAAATTACAACCCTAGTGGCAATACCTTAAAATTCTTCTACTAAGTACACCTCAATCAAAAAGGCATGACAGACTTTATAATCATTTACTATATTGAGCAATCAAGAGCTCGCTTGTACTTGCAGGCAGTGAAGTCTATGCACCGTACAGCCAAAGTTATAATTTAGTACTCAACAAAAACACTTTTAGACAGCGAAATGGAGGAGCGTGAGGGGAGGTTGCTCACACATGGCACTGGCACGTCTGACGTTGGAACATAAAGTTAAAGTACAGACTGCTGCTGAAGCTGAAGAGTATAGAAAGTGTTTATTATGAGTGCTTGTAGTGGCATGGTCCAGAACGGGTCAGCTAAGGTTAAGTTTTGTTTATTGTTCATTTCTAGGAGAAGTGCATTAATGCAATGTGCACCTGCTGTGTTGTGTGAGAGATGGCAGGTGTCTTAAGGTGTCACATGCACCTGACGTGCAGCAGGTGCATGTACTTGTGAGCATCTATGTACGGTGGCATCTGTGTGTTCCATCCTGGTGCCATCACGGTTATTGTGTGTCAGATGCAACAATAATGTTTGATCTGTCAAGGTCAACCATTGAGGCTGATGTTTTGTCAGTGTATAAAGGTACTGCAGTAGTGTTTGTGGTTGAGTGAACACTCTTGTCTCACAGCCAGAAGGTTCTGAGCTTGCACGTTTCTGCCCAGTTTGCCCCATCAATCCAAAACACAAAACATGTATAATGGTAAAACCGTCCAGATGGAAATGGGTCCCCAGATGCCACAGCGCTGTGCAGAGGACAGATTTCCCTACGGGGACAATAAAGTGTACTTTAAGCCTAACCCGCTTGTCCCAACTGAGATGTTATTGCTTGAAAACATGCGTTCTTACTGTGACCAATCTCTGAGCCATAACTGGACATGGTGGTGTTACCTGTTTATATCCATAATGCCATACTGTAGAAGGTTCCAGGAAAAGCAATAACAGGTGGTGGCCCTTCCAACAGAAAAGTGACATAGTGTACCTTTAAATCATCTTTTCAGCACATCATGACACAAAAAAAACAGCCACATTTCAGCCTCATACACATGTCTATTTAAGAGCAGGAGTACACTGGTGAGTGGTTTTGCTGCTATTGCTTATTCACTTGTTAGCCCGCGCCTGTGCAGACCTCAGAGTGGAGCTTATGGGGATGTAATCATCTCTATTATAAATAGCAGAGCAGTGAGACAGGCCTGGTGCTCTGGTCCATTGCTGGTGCCACACAGGAATGTTCTGCCTCCACAAAGGGCCATAGAGTGACTGTGTTATATGGCATGTATAATGTGTTACATATATGGCACCTGAACCACACGCCCTTACATAATGTACTGTACACACTGTCTGTGGTACAGACCTCAAATGTTCTCTGATATGACATGATGAAGTACTCCAACTTCTGTCTGTGTATAAACAGCAGACAGATGTTCAGCTCACCAAGGGGATTTTGCACACATATAGATTTAACTTTGTACATTGTGTATGGGCGAGTGTTTATCATATTGTGGGAACTAAAATGTATAAACTCAATTTGTGGGCAGTGCCTCCTTTTATGAGGACAAAAATCAGGTCCTGGATATTAGTAGGATCAGTTTTCAAGAAATTAATATCAATGTAATGTCCTCATTAGATATTTAAACCCAACATGAATAACAGTAGTAAAAAAAATAACAGTAGTAAAGTGGTGTTAAAATAACTGGACTGCAGTGAACCATCCATCCAGACATTTTGTAAAACATAACAGTCGACTGTATTTGCTTTGGACAGGAATCAAACTCACAACTCTACACGGCATGGCAACAACAAAAGCACACATTTCTGTAGTGAATGAAATGTTTCTTTTTTTTATTCACAATTTGCACAGTTTTCCTTCCTCATATACATCTTTTCCTCTAGTGCTGAGCTTTGGAGCTGCACTTTTCAGTCCATTTATGACAGAAAGCCACACAACACAGTGGCAGTCCTTTAGCATGTGGATACTCCCTGTATCTACAGTAAAGCACTTCATAAAACATTTACATTATCGTCTTGTGACTACTCATGGCACACAGAGAAAACATACCAATCGGAAAGTTAATGTTAGTCGCTATGGAAACAAATAAAAATATCCTACTTTTTTGAGTGATGGCTTAAAGCCGATTTGTACTATCCTAAATACTGCATGTGAAAAACAGAATTACTTCATTTTAAACAGTTTGCAGTGGTCCAAAGTTGTTCATCACTTACCTTATGCATTCCTAGCATCGTAATCATTCACCACGAGGCCAGAGCGGAAATTTGCCCCTATTGTAAAGCTAACAATAACTCATGCTAACCACTTCCTGATTCTTGGACAATAAAATGCTTTATAATTAGATATGGACAGCACGCAGCAGACATTATGACTTCAAGTACTGCTATACAATACATCTGTACGGGGACATGACAAATTTTGCATGGAACAAAAATCAGTCACAGGGCCTTTAATGTTGCTACAATAAAATGTGTAACTAAAAAAATAGGTCAGCTTGGTTAAGATAAATCACCGTATAACATAATGAAAAAGTATGGCTATGCTTTCTCTGTGTGCAGTGTCATCACATGTGAAGCTAAAGCATATTTCTACAAGCGTCCTCTTTGATTGACTGACAACACTATCACATCAAATGGATTGTCAACTTTCCCTCTGTAATTACAAATGTAGATTGTAAACATAGACGGCGTGGTCAGGGACTGGCGAGATTGTTTGTTTGTTTTTTTTTCCCCAATGCGTTACAGATACGATTCAGCATACAAAGCCCAGCTAACACAATCAGAGCAGTAGAAAACACAATGGCTTTGAATAAATTTAGAAGTTCAACAGATTTGTGTAAAGCTGCTTCCATAACAAACACATAATAGGATTGTGAACTAAACACCTGAGACCCCCTGTAAGTCTTAAAAATTATGTTAATATTATTCTGCAATATTGGTGTGTTGGTGAAATTAACACTAAGCACCTAAAACACAGCAGTGAGATGGACGTTTCATATTTTTTCCATTTAGTCTTTGACAGGTTTGTCTATAAGCGCTGCTTTTTGTGCTCAGTTGGTATAATATATAAGAAAACTGGCCAGGAGCTTCAATAACCTTCAACACATTTGCTAGTTTATAACCAAGATTTAAAGTGGAACTAAACTAAGCACTAAATCCACTTTTTACAATGTTTTACAGCAGGGGTCTCCAACCTGTAGCTCGGGAGCTACTGGTGCTCTCCACCCCCTTCCAAATAGCTCACCAAGGGATTTCTGAATTATACTTATTGTGCTGAATAAGTAAAATTTGATTAATTAAATGTCTGTTACTATTGTACATGGTTTATGTTTTATAGGCATCTATGGGGGAGGTGAAAAGTGAAGACCAGCGCACAACGACCATAGTTTAGCGAGGATTCATGTGGTTTGGAGGGATATGTAGTCAAGATGGAGGGCAATTGTTGTCCAGATGGCCACCCTAACTATAAAGCCCTGCGGGAAACACTGTTATATGCTCAATTTCTTGTGATTACTAAAACTAGTAGCTCTCTGGCATTTTCATTTTTTAGAAGAAGCTCACTGGAGGAAAAAGGTTTTATAGCATCATTTACTTGCAATCAATTTTTGGCAACTTTAGTGTAAACTAGGTCAATTTGTGGCTTTCTAGTTAAGAAAAAAAAAAAAAGCCTAAATCTAAGTATCTGTCACGCGCCACGCTGTCCCTCCTGCTCTCTCACTCCTTTGTTTAGTCCTCCAGGTATTGCCCAGTGAAACAGCTCTACTTGAAATGTGGTTGTGGGTGGAGTTTAAGTGTTTAGGGACTAAACACTTAAACTCTTTCAGTTAACCCAAGTTCTAGGGTCAAGTAAAAATGATAAGGAGAAAAACCTTTAAAAACGACCACGTACTCATGCTGTTATTTGATTAGTAGGCTATACCCTCCCTAATATTGAATGCGTCTTTGTGGATAGAAATTCAGTAACTTATTTGAACCAGTAAATATATACAATAACTGTATATATTTTGTTTACATTGCTAGTCTAGGTTCATACCAGTCCACTGAACTCAATCCGGTTCAGCAGGCAGACAGACATTATTACATGAGCCCCAAACTAGCTCTGTCCAAGCTAACATTGTAAACATTTCATCATGTGTTGCTAAATGTAGTGAATACATTTGTGCCACCACGCTATATTCTCTATGATTTCCAGTGTGTCCAACAAGTCCATTGACTCCAGAAGTTTGTCCTGAAAAATATCGCATTTCCACTATAAGCTTGCATCACATAACTTGAGTGTCTGTGTAAAGTTAAGTCTTCTCTTGTGGCTTCAGGTGCTTTTGAATCCATCGCTGATGTAAATGCAGCAGTCTGGCTCAGATCGACACCAAATGAGTTCCAATTACAAAGTCTTGGATAATAGTAGTTATCCAGTTGTGGAGTGGTTTGGAGGAAGCGTGGAGTGTTACTAAAATTACTTGGAGTGTCCTCTTTAAGTCCTGACTTCTCTGGTGTCATGTCTTCCAAGGTAAAAAGCTAGAACATAAAAGTACACGCATTGATACTCTGGATATCATAGGAAGCAATTTGCTATTAAAGATGCGTTATGTAACTTTTTTTGTTGAGCTTGAGTCTGCTATCTGCTTGTCTCCATTGAAATGTTGCTTTGCTTAAAATGTTCTGTCTTGCATTTGTTCAATTATAGGTGTTTTTATTGCTCAAAAATACTTGGAACATGCACAGAGCCCATTATTATGCTATTCTCTGGCCAATCTTATAATGTTTCCTCATTAGAAAAATAACCAGAGTTGTGTTTTGTTTTATTCACACATGATTGACACAAAAACTTTGCATATTTTTCCATGTTAAATGCAATAAAGGAAGTGCTCCATTCAGCTTCACTAGAATCATTTGTACTATTTCAGCTCTGGAATTGCCAATCTAACAACAAACATTTGTGAATGAAACAAAACACAAATCCGGGGAGGTTTTTTAGGAGGTAACATCAATATAACATGGCTTAAAGGACCTTACCGTTTCCCTCAGATGGGTCGCAAAAGATTTTTTTTGGGGTCACCGTGTCATGATCTGCATGTAGATCTGCAATATACACTTCTGCCTATACATCTGATATGCATGATGCACTCTCCTCTTGCACCCTAGACTGGACGCAGACAGGCCCACCTATCTCATTAGAAATGTTGAAATGTTAAGACATATTTTGTATAATTTCTAATCTTTTTGTAATTATTTTATTGACTATTTTGTTCCAATATTGCTGGTTCAATTGAATGTTGAAAAGAAAAAGACATGGGCTACATTTAATGCCAAAATAGGTGACTTATGGATCCTTTTATTGCTATTTCAATTACTGTTTTTCATTGTTTAAAACTTGAGTAATACTAATTGTTCAGAGAGACACGATCACTCAGTTAACAATAAAATATCCTCATTAATGTTCAATAATGGGCAAATCCACCTTTATTTTGTGATTTACGAATAATGTCTATTGACTTGGATCGCAAAGGTCTGTGACTTTTAAAATATGCGTCCCCAGAAAAAAAGTTTTGCAAACACTGCCTTATAGGACCTGTATCTGTTAGTGAGCTCTCCTCTTGAGAGATCTAACCTATAACTTGGCCATCTGCGTGTCTTCACAGAGATAAATATGTTTAATATCATAATGTGGAACATTCCAGACAAAGCCATAACATCTCCATGGAAAAAAGCAGGTGGAGAACCCTTCACCCAAAAAGTTACATAGCTCACCTTTAAAGTAATTTTGTATAGTCTTACTTACCACTGTGTTATTTAGTTTAAGTTTTCCGGGGCCCTAAAAAACATAACATAATGTAAATAAATGTAAATACACTGCTTACTTGAAGAAATTACATGTAACTATTTCTCCGTCTCCATCGCAGCAGCAGAACCCTCAGCCTCCTCACCCTTTCACTCTTTTTCATAGCCTTCTTTCTAATATACAGTACATACCTTTTTACTCTTTGCAAATTTCATGAATGCACCACAACTTGTTTATTCCCAATTGAATAATAATAATTTTCTGGGAGGAGTCTTAATAAATACCATTATGTGACTAGTAAAATTTTCATAATAGAATTGCCTCATTTATCAGACAAAAACAAACAATACGAACTGACGCAGTAAGCACAAGCAGTGTCTCTGAGGCGTCTAGTCAGCAGTAATAATAATTTGTAAATACTACTTGTAATAAACTTTGATTTGTAAGTACAAGCCATCTGCAATCTCACCACAAACTGCAGCAACGCACTGAAAGTCTATTAAAATGAAAACTTATTGAAGGCATTAATCTAAAAATTCATTATCAGAACGTGAAGGAGAGATGCTGAAAAGAAGGTTCCTGAAAATAAAAATTGTTCGCTATTTGCAGTACCTTTCCGAAGCACTATTCACCAGTCGATGTGTCTGGGGGGAGCGGAGGCCCGGGGAAACCTGTTCATAGTGTCATAGGAGGGGATGCTACAGCACAGAACACAGGGCACAAAGTGAACATCACAAATACAGTGGGGGTACGGTACTGAGGAGGGGAACGGGGGAGGGCACCAGGCAGAGAGCTGAAGGATGATACAGTGCAGTATCCTTAGGTTTTAAATGGCTAAGTCTTAAAAGGTTAAATTAAGATGGGGGTGGTCAAAAGTGTTGGTTTTATAGTCTGATAAATATAGTAGCACACCAGGACGGAGAATGTCACTTAAAGAAATTATTATGATTATGCCTTCACTGCAAAAAACAATATCTAGTTAAATTAAAATGAATTAAATTAAGAACATTTTACTTTATTTGAGTAGATTCAACTTGACAGGTAAAATTATCTACCAATGGAATAAGTGTATTTTTCTTAATTCAAGCAACATTTGATTTTGTTTGTTATTTCAAGTGCAAAAAGTTGTTGTTTTTCTTATTTTAAGTGTAGCAAGATGTATATTTATATTTTAAGCACAAAAATCTTGTTCCACTGGCAGGTAATTTTACTCGTCAAGTGAAATTTACTCAGATCATGATAAAACCTTCTTAATTCAAGTCATCTTAAAAGGACAGTTTGGAATCTTGGACATAGGACCTCATTTCCTCATTAGCCAGAGTGTTGGAGGCGTGTCGAGACACTTTTTTAAATATTCCATCCAGTCCTTGTATTTGCAGAGGTCGCTGGTGCTAGGCTAGCGCATTGCAATGGCCATAGTTATCCTGCCACTAAAAACAGTCTTACCTACTCCACAAAACACACGAGGCAAATCTGGCCTTTACATCGATAGTCTGGTCTGGTACACCAGACTATCGATGTACATTTTGTGTTGATAGAATAATGTTTGAAATAAAACTTACCTTGCATCTCATAAATCGTCGCAGGTTAAGGGACTATTTTCTCATATCAGTCCGCCTCTGCCAAGCTTTCTATCAGGAAGTACAACTCGCTGCTGCTGCTGCTCAGACATAAATCCTTCAAATGCAAGGTTGGTTTTACTTCTAAAATTATTCTATCAACACAGACATTCACATGGACAGTCTGGTGTAATAATAGATTTGCTTCAGGTGTTTTGTGGAGTGGGTAAGACTGTTTTTAGTGGCAGGATAACTATGGCCATTGACATGCACTAGCCTAGCACCAGTGACCTCTGCAAATACAAGGACTGGATGGAATATTTTAAAAAGTGTCTCCACACGTCTCCAACACTCTGGCTCACTAGGAAATGAGGCCCTATGTCCAAAATTCGGAACTGTCCCTTTAACTTGACTAGATTTAGTTTTTTTATTAATTTTAAACCAGCCAGAATACACAAGTTGATTTAAATGTTATATAAATGTAACTGGTTGCACAGTGCTTATCTGTAAAGCCCAATAGCGTAAGCAGTGAGATCTTATTACAATTTTGCCACATATTGAAGAAGTATACGTTACTGTACCTATAGTATGTACAGTATCTATCCATCTTGCATGTATTCAATTTCAGCTGTTTCAATTGGTTTAAAAGAATACCTTGAAAAACATGTTCTTACTGTGAGCGGGAATGCCTCTTCACAGATCTGACATGTAAATTGGTCAGGTAGCATCACTTGCTTCTATGAAGTATTAACTGCTAACATAACATAAATAGGTCACCATGTTTCTATTATTGTCTTTATTGCCGAAAATGTTTTATAAGTTTTCCTTGTCTTTATATTGTTTTGTGTTCTGCTTGTGTATATTTATGGAAAAATATTGTACAGGAACAAAATAAATAAATAAATCAAACATACATGGATGACATCTAAAACCTCATGTAAAAACAGGCATGTTTTTGGCAAGGAAACAATGTTATAACATGGTAGAAAGCTCATTTTGCATAATACAAGAGCATTAATACAAGAAATTAAAATGGACAAAGATGTGCTGGCAGGATGCGTTCTGGCACACTAGCCAAAATAATAATACAGTTTTATTCTGTTTACTTGGTTGATCAGATTAATTGGGCTTTCAGAAGCACTGGCTCCCTCTGACTCATGAAATCCTAAGGGAACTTTAACCAACAACCTCTAACACTCCAGCATACTCTCTGTAATTTCCTCATTCTGCTCTGTGCCTGTAGGTCTGTTACAGAAGGCTGGCTCCACACGCATCCAGATGCAACTTAAAAATACACCCCATGCAGTTTGAAGTTTTGGTTAGTTCAACACAATGGAAAAGAAGCAGTAGCGTTCTTAGGCTTGGACATGCTTGCCTCTCTCTGAACACAATAATCAGGTGGACATTGGTGGGGCTCTGGCAGACTCTAAATGAGACAGGAGACATGCAAAGAGTGAAGTCATGTGTAAAGTAATGGGAGTAAATGGTTGACCCGAAATAAACTGGGGAGATTGCATTAGAGCTTGTGTTCAAAATGGTAAGGGTTTGGGTTTTTTACGTTGCTTTTTGCAAGTTGGGGTAAAAGAAGTAATTTTGTTTGGCCAATAGACTTCAATAAAATACTGGAACAGGAAACTTTGATTTGCTAAAGCTTTTGGGCTCCTCTAACTGTTCTAGGCAGATAGTTGACTACAAAGTGAGGCTCGCATGCCACAATTTGGCCTTCCAGGAGGTCCAATTTGGCCTGTCAATTTTTATTTATTTTATTTATTTTTATTTATTTAATAAGACAGGGACAGTGCACAATTTTTACATTAACCTTAACAGGAGAGATGCATTGTACCAGGTTGTAGCACCAGTGCTAATTTCCACCTGTAGTCCCTAGGCAGGTTCATTGATTGATTGTATTTAATTGACCTTAGCTATCAGCTGTTCTTCCTAGAGACCTATGTAGCATGTTTTGGGTCAATGAGATTTGTGGGTATCTATTGAGGGCCTGTTTATATAAGAATGCCTGCGGGTAAAAACGACAAAATATATTTTCGCAAGTGCCTTTCCTTTGACGGTGACGGCATTTTGGGGACTTAAAAATGCAAAAATCTGAAACCACCCTCCAGAGTGGAAAAGCTGAATACGCTCCGCTGTAGTGTTTTGTAGTGTCTACATTGCCCAAGATGCAAAACTCTTGTCAGAGCTGCACACGTCTTAAACTCATTTACGTCACATATGTACAGTACACAGAAACAAACATGTCGGATGGCTTGCATATTCAATCGAATTCCACACATTTTTGCATCATCATATGCACGCAGATTTCCTCCCGAAAATGCTCTTCTAAACGCGGAATAAAAAGTGAAGACGCGACACCACTTTTGCGTCTTCTGTTCAGACTGTCATCATATAAACGTAGCCTTATATATTTTTTCTTTTTCACATGAGATATGACCTGTCCATATACTGAGAATAGGCCTCCAATAATAATTGCAACAATAATTACTATTACGTTCAATATATGAAAGATGCAACAATACTTTATGGAGGTCAATATTTATCATGGGTACTTTTGCATTTCCTTTCCCCAGTAATACTGGGGAACTTTTTGTTACAATAAGATCTGATTTATAGAGAGTAAAATCAATATATATAGATACAAACAGAAGTGTGTCATTCTGCTATTTATTTATTGCAGTTATTGTGTTTTAACCATATTATTAGAGGTGTAACAATAACCAAAATATCGTGATATCGTATCGTCAAAAGTCTCTCAATAATATCATGGGCCATCACAATATATCGAGTCACAAGCTTCTTTGCTTATAATTCATTGTTATGTTGCAGCAATAGCTAAAAAAAACGGAGGGAAGTACATCGACCATGGTTCTTTGCTCCGTTTTGGAGCAAATTACATGAAGAAATAGCAGTTCTAAGCACTTTTACATCTTAGTTCTTTGAATTGAAGTCTTGTAAATGAATTTTAAGAGGAAAAAGTGAAAAAGTAGCATATTCACAATGTTGTTAGCCTTCACATAATATCGCAATAAATACCGTACCGTGAGATGTATATCGTGAAAATATTGCACCGTGAGATTTGGATATCGTTACATCCCTACATATTATACATTTAGAGTAGCTTTTGGTGATAATTTTAGTACTTTAAACATAAAGTACCAGAGGGAGACATAAATTAATTTCAATATTATCGTTTATCGTCTATATATTTTCTTCAGCAATATATTGCGCTTCAAAATGTGTTATCATGACAGGCCAAACGGAGAATGAGACAAACTTGTATGTGTCTCCTGTGTGCAGGTTAAGGCACTGGCGACCCAGGTTCAGCTGTGATTGTGTCTTTGTTAAAACTGTAAGAGTGCCGCCGTTTTCAACACATTGCAATATCTCCCATTACTTTCCCACACCGCTGCCCAAAAACAAAAACATGCATTATCACCTTGGTCTTGAAAATCCCCCGTTCCACCTCCATGCTCCCACTCCAGTGAACATGCAACCCACAAACCCCAACCCACTTTACCTCATCATCATTGGGTTTGGGATACCTTGTGCAAGCTCGCATTGATAACCATTATTACCAATTTCCATACTGAAAAATCAACATAAACAAGGATGGACATGTATGACGAGAAGGCATGCGTTTTAGTTCAAATTATGAATGAGAGTTACATGGATGTTAGAAGTTTTTTGAAAATAAACGTGAGTATTTACATATAAAATAAAGTTAGATTTTTTTAAGTTAATGATTGCAAGAGCCCTTTGGTACAAGTAAGGGGCACTTTTACACCACACAGAGCCACGGCATCCACCAAAAAAGTAGCAAGCACCAAGAATTGAGTAAACAGTTGTATTTACAGGAGAAAGAGAAAAAATATAAAGGAAAGGAAATGTAGGTGGTCTTACGTTTTCATGGGAATAGTTTCAATGCTAAAAAAATAAACAAAAACATCAGATTTAATGTCTAGAAAGATTGACCCAAAGCACCAGTAGAGGCAGAGGACGAGAGAGGTCCTTGATGAGAATGGTTGGAAAATACTAAAAAAATTCAAAATAAAGGAAAGGGGAGGGATTTGAACTTAGTAAAAAATTTTGTAAAGTGCAATGTGCTTACAAGGACGAATGAAATGGGAAATGGAAATGGTAGAAATGGTTATCACAAAGTAAAATGCCAAGTCCCAGAGACAGAGGTACTATGAGAGAGGAGGAGGAGAAAGAGAGAAGTTAAAGTTTTAGAGAGACTGAGAGAAGAGCAGAGTTTTTGCAAAAGACTCTCGACTGGTCAATATTTTGAATTTATAGTAAAAAAGAAATTGAGCCAATTGGACCATGTTGATGATTATTGTTAAAAAATGCACATTAAAAGGGTCTGTACCAATTTTTTTCAAGTCATGAAGTAAAATATGTGTTTCCAAAGTACAGATTATATCATAAAAGCAGCTCTTCAGGTGAAAATGTGATCACTGTGATGTCTGCATCAGCTTAATTTTTATTTATTTACTTTTTTTCATCTTTGAGAACAAGGAAGTGTGTTGTTATCGTGCTAGACAAACTATGGCCTCTAAAAGTTGTGAGAAGAGCTCATAAACTCATTGTGTTTATAAACCTTTTAAGACGTAAAAGATAAAAATCAGGTAGTGTCTTAAATTTGAGAAAACAAAAAGTAAAAATCAGGTACAGAGCCTTAACTGTATTAGTAAAAAATACGCACTTTTTGTATTTTCAAATTTGAGACCAGTCTGAGATTCCTTTGGCAGCTTTACACAAGAGTCCTGCAACCACTTAATTCAAAATTGAAGTACAAATAAATATAATATACAGTATGAAGTCGCTGTTTGACAAACTCTAACAAAATATCTGTAGTAGAAAAATGCTAGTATTCGTCACTTACTCATCGTAAACATCCTCTGTGTCCATGCGACGGTAGTACTTGGCCAGTTTGACAGCCAGGATGATACTCGGGAGCAGGAACAGAGTACTGCAGCCCAGGCCCATCCAGAATGCATTCTACTCAAAATAACAGCAGTATTATTATCGGTGATATCGAAAGGGTTTCATAGATATTGGTATCGGTTAAATATTGAAAATGTAGCTGCCCCAATGTGTCCTCAGTGCATCAGATTTGTCTTTTTAAACAGACTAGTGAGTTATAAAGGAAGTGGAAGAGCAAATAGGCTAAAAATATGTCAATATGTAAAGGGACATATATTTAAAAATGTATAATGTCACAACTATTAAAAGTGAGAACAAAATTAGGCAAAAATATCTAGTTCAGTGATAGTAAGTGATATTTGCACATTTTAGCACATTCCTGACTATTATTGTGATTTAAATTCTGTCAAAATGACCTACTCCTAACTATATGTTTACATAATTACAGACTTATGCAATAAATTGTTTCATATCCCATACTAAAATGCTTTTGTTGATTTGTTTTGTTTTTGTTTTATCTTTTTACAAAAGAAAAAAATTAATTTGTGAACTTGGCTAAACTTACTGGGTTCCCAAAAAGTTTCAACATTTTTCCACAACCTTTTCATGACCTAAAGTGAATTTTCCATGACTTTACAGCACCTGACGTGTAGAACTGATCATACTTTTAGGGCTAAATAAGAAATGTTAACCCTTTCCACTCACCTTATGGTTTGGTATTATAGTTTTTTAACATTCAGAATACTGTCAGTGTATTGATTGTGGTCTCATTTAAACAAAAAGCGCAGACGTTCAGAAATAATCATAATAGCCTAATGATAACATCACAGAACGATGTAGTTGTGTGAAAGAGATACTAAAATTCCATGACCTTTCCAAAACTTTCATTGAATTTACACAGTTCCATGACTTTTCCAGGATTTCCATGACCGTGGGAAACCTGAACTTAACATACATTTGTGGGTCTTGCTGGCTATGGATTCTGAAACTTTAATATCGGTTATTGCTACAGTAGAAACACAAATATCTGTATTGGCTAAAAATATAAATAAACTAGCAGACGTATTGTGCCATTACCATTGAGTCAACCAGGAAACTGCAGGTAAAAATTTCAGCCGTGTCCAGGATGTTGCTAAAAGGCTTGCACTGTGCGACTTCTTCCATTAGCTGTACATGAAAAAACAAGAAAAAACACAGACGTGCATTTATGACTGTGAAATTCTCAGTAAACAAAATACCGTTGACATTGCTAACGTAACATCTTAACGGTTCAGATTCTTTTCGCATTCCTTAGCGCCTACGTCAGCAAACCACTCGCCTCAAAGCAAATTCTTTCAATTTAAAGAGGTTGTAACATTTATATTTGTCGTCTTAACTATAATTGCAGCCAAACTTGTGAATGATCGTTTGCCAATACACAACTCGGTGCCGTGTTTAATAGGCTAAATGAGAACTTGTGGACAGTTGAATGGAGACTTAGTGAGAGGTGAGGAAAAGTAATACTAATAAATGAACACTTACGGACATCTTGACCCATTCTATGTATTGATTGAAGTAGCCCACAATGGTCGCTGTGTACTTTTTGGTTTCCTGAAAAACAAAAGTTATTCAGGGATTTCAGCATTTCAGCAAGAGTGAATTACAATCATCTCAAGGATACAATAAATACTTCAAAAAGTTTGTCCTTTCTGGTAAACAATAAATGAATTAAAGGATCCAAAAGGACATTATTTTCTGATTTATGTTATAATGTTCTTTCCTGATCAAAAACATACCTGGAGATAGGGCCGCTCAATTATGAAAAAAAACATTATCACGATTATTTTGGTCAATATTGAAATCACGATTATTCAAACCATTATTTTTTTAGTTACACAATGCATTTATTCAGCATTTCTCCTCAAAAAAACAGTTTGTTATTGATAATTTACACAAAACTTTCAAATTGAAAATAAATATAGGCTATAAATATGTAACTTTGAGCAGTTTTGCGATGTATAAAATTAATAAAATATACTTTGAACATGAAATAAAGGCACAGAAAAAAAAAATCCCAAAATAAACAGTTAAACTTTGTCAAGCTCCACTGTGTTTTTAAACTCCATACATCTTCACTAGAATCACTCTGAGGATTTCAGCTCTGGAATTGCATCTCTACTGAACTAAAGGTAAAAGGAGCTTGAAAACTACCACTTCATGACATCACAAAGCGGAACTAAACATTTTGAGCTTTGGTAATGTAGACAAACTAATAATAAAGGATTACTTAAACATGTATGAATAAAACATTTAACAAACTTCAGCAATTAAGTTAATTCACAGTATAATTATTTGACATTCAACTCCAAAGAAAGTTATTAATTTTGTTTTGTTAACTTTGAAACCAAAATGCAAATAGTTTTACCTGGCGGATCATGTTTGAAGCATTCTGCGAGATCAGGAACTGAGCCGTGTCAATCGCTTCTAGAACAGCTAAAACTTTGTTCTGTAGAAAAACATAAACATTTCATATTTACCAATTCCCAAATAAAGTTTAGCAGTAGATTTGTGAATGAACATAGCAGAGGTGGGACCAAGTTGTTTTGCAAGTCTCAAGCAAGTCTTGAGTCTTTAAACTCAAATCCGAGTCGAGTCCCAAGTCAAATACAAGCAAGTCCAAGTCGAGTCTTGAGTCACTGGCTCATAAATCCAAGTGAAATCCAAGTCATCTGCTTTAAGCTTCAAGTAATTTCAACCAAAGTACCAAATATAGTTTAGATTATTGCTATTTATATGACTTTTAAGATAAATTATACTTAAAAAGCCATGGTATATTTATATGAGTATTTATTTGGGAGTTGTAGAAATGCAAATTGACAAGAGTGCGAATTATTATGGTCATAATAGAAAGAGTTAAGATTTAAAAGTGCTTAATAATAGTTATTTTGTCATGTAGACTGCACTGAAATGGAAGGATCGTGTTCCTTGTAGTTCACTGTGTTTTACTGTATTGTCCTGTATATTACTGTAGTACATTTGAAGACACCAGATCACAGTACTTCAGTTACAACCAAAGTAACAAACAAACAATGACATGTTCTAGTTTGTTCCTGTAAAATTAAGCATTGTTTTATAAACTGTAAAGAGAAAAGTAATTCCTAAAAACATATATTTTTTAGGAGAAGCATCAATTCTTCTCAAGTCACAAGGCCCAAGTCCCAAGTCCCTGACTTTCAAATCCAAGTCAAGTCCCAAGTCTTTGTCTATTTTATCAAGTCAAGTCTCAAGTCCTAAAAATTGTGACTCAAGTCTGACTCGAGTCCAAGTCACGAATTGCAAGTCCCCAACTCTGGAACACAGACAAATAAATCATACACTTACTGGTAGGTCTGATGTCGTTCTCTCCAGGTACCTCATACTCTGATTCAAGGCACTCTTCAGAGAGAATCAAAAGTATAATTATAATATTTATAGTCAAACATAATACATAATTTACATAACTATACATAATTATACGTATAAAATGGGGGGAACGGGGGGGGGCAGACATGCCATGCTTAAGAATTTTGTTCCAAATTATAAAAGAAAAAACATGCATTCGGAGCATCCCAGCGATTCAGTGAGATGAGTTTATAGGCGCTTTTCACAACTATCAAGAGACCAGTGGGGAGTTCTGCCGTGACAGTGAAAACTAACAGCAACGAGCATGCTAACGTGCACTTTCTGATTCTCGGATAATAAAATGCTTTCTTATTAGATGAAGAGAACATACAAATAGGAAAAAAATCAGCTACAGGCCTTTTAAAATGTTATAATACAAACAGGGCAGTATTGAAATGTAATGAACAGTATTGTAATAGACTCTCATATACAGTAAATAGAAACATACAATACAATGGATGCTACACGTGCTGTTACATAGCAACCAAGAGCTGACACATTTCCTTAGCCTAATGTAAGAAATCCATGAACCTTTTAATTAATGTACAATTTAGCACAAAATTCTTTACATGCATGACCTGTTTTATGCAATTTTACAACACAATGACAACATTAAAGGTGCTTTACGTAACTTTTCACCTGCTCCTTGGAGATATTGTTTGGTCCAGAATGTTTCACAATATGGCATTAAAACTATCTATCACCATAGAGACAGTTACGCCACCATGAGCAGTTACAGCAGAGTCCTGCACTTGGCGACTATGCTCCTAGTTTAGTCCTGGTTTAGATCTGGTTAAGTCCTGGTTAAGTCCTGGTTCAGTCCTAGTTCAGACCTGGTTTCGTCCTGGTTCGGGCCTGGTTTAGTCCTGGTTTAGATCTGGGTCAGTCCTGGTTCAGTCCCGGTTTACTCCCGGTTATGTCCTGGTTAGACCTGGCTTAGACATGGTTAAGTGCTGGTTCAGTCCTGGTTTAGACCTGGTTCAATCCTGGTGTAGTCCTGGTGATTGGCTCAGCAGTTGTGGCGTATATATATTTATGCTAATGACACTGGTTTAGTCCTGGTTCAGTCCTGGTTTAGTCCTGGTTTAGACTTGGTTAAGTCCTGGTTTAGACTTGGTTAAGTCCTGGTTTAGACTTGGTTAAGTCCTGGTTTAGACCTGGTTTAGTCCTGGTCCAGTCCTGGTTTAGTCCTGGTCCAGTTCTGGTGTAGTCCTGGTGATCGGCTCAGCAGTTGCGACCTGTATATATTTATAATCCCCTAATGACAGAGCGTAGGTTCAGTCCTGGTTCAATCCTGGTTTAGTCCTGGACTATTGGGCTGTCGGATTAATAGGCTGGGCGGAATGGGTATCCAAAAATAGACCCGTGCAGGACTCTGAGTTACAGGTCCGATCTGTGGAGAGGCGACCCCACTCACAGCTATTTTTCAACACTTTCAAGGTATTCCAATTTTCCGCAATAAAAACACACACAAATAAATAAACAGATCATTTTAATGCCATATTGTGGTGCATTCCAGGCAAAGCAGCAACATCTCCATGGTGACAAGCAGAAAGAAAAGTTACTCATTTCACCTTTAACTACCATATCAAAGTCATCTGTTCGTTATACTAGTTCTGTGGGATAAACATTCACAACAGGGACACAGCTCTTACCCTCGCTCTAACATATTTCTTGAAGTTGAAAGTAGAAAAAGACAACATGACAATATATTTTACTTTTTGATAATTATTATTTTAAAATGTCTACTTCAATAATAGATAACAATAGATCACTTTAATTACGAGTGCCTTGTTAGTTTCATTACTTATTTACTTGATGCTCTCTGGACGATTAACTCTGGCTCCCATAAATCATTAGACAATATAGGACCAAGTGCCAGTATCCTATTCCCACACAGCCTCTGCCAAAATGTGTCTGTGAGCGCATCCATCTTAGCATATCTCTGGCGGTTGACATAGTAATAGGAAAATGACAATGTTTTGGTGCAAAAACTGTGCTTGAGAAGAAATCTTACCATGGTCTGCTCCATAGGGACGATCTGCTGAGTGTGGATTTGACGCAGTGTTCCGATATGGCCCTTCAGAGAGCTCTGAAGAGGGCTACGAGGCTGTAATATCACAAGTACCAAAAGAAACAATCCAATAAGAAATTTAAAGTCTCACAAATCGGGCTGGTAGAATCCACTGGGAGTAAGTGGTATTGTGGTAATTTCTGGTTCACAGTGATTTTCAGTGTGTGTCAGATTTAATGTGTCAAAACTCGATACTCAAAAGAAATGTTGGTCTTTCAAAAATAGTTTTAGGAATATTTGATCTACTATATCAGAACATGTCCACGTGGTAATATAAAAGAAGCAACTATTACATTGTATAAAAATGGGTGTTTTACCATCATTGTGATATAAAGGGCAGTAATTCTGTCAGCGAAAAGTTTTGGGGTGAATACATTTTGTCACTCATTACTGTTTACTGGTAAGTCACTTGCTTATATCTGTCTGAAGGGAGTATCACAGTTTTCTGTATCAAGCTTTTCAAGAATTGCACATTTTTGAAAATTTTGTAAATGTTAATATCAGGATTCCCACTCTTTTTCACTGACAAAATTTCCAAACTTTTCCTACTTTTTCATAACCTAAAGTGAATTTTCCATGACTTTACAGGACCCTATTGAGTATACCTTTAGGGCTAAATATAAAATGTTAACCTTTTCCACTCACCTTATGACTTGGTATTGTAGTTTTTAACATTCAAAATACTGTCAGTGCATTTATTGTCGTTTTAAACAAAAGATGCATACGTTCTGAAATAATCATAATAGCCTAATGATAACTTAATAGAACGCAGTAGTTGTGTGAAAGAGATACAAAAAATTCCATGACTTTTCCAGGCCTGGAAAATTACATTTTAAATTTCCATGACTGTGGGAATCCTGTAATATCCTGAGAACATGCCATAGCTCCAGACAATTATTTTACATTTGGTCATGGTAAATTGCAATACTAATCTAAAGCCACTAAATATTATGAAAATTGACTTGATAATCACTTGTACACTCCCCTGAGTACGCTCACTCAGCATCATCACTACAGTGGGTCAAACTGTTGTTTCATGCTGCTTCAGGGTAAAATGAGGTTTTCATTACTAAACAGTTTACTTTGGTTAAAACTTTTTGAAAAATAGATATAAGATGTTCTTACCATCAGGTCTGTTTGGGCCTCCAACTCTCTTGCATATGATAGTACATCCACTACAGTGACTCCTTTGTTGACCTGTTGATGAAATAGAATTTATAGCACACAATAACAATGCTTATATTTTCTTTATCCCCAAGTAACAGAAATATATGTTTACAATTCTGTGTAAGGTTAGTCAAAAGTTCTCATCTGTGGGGTCATTAAACTATGAATTTATTGTAATAGTCTGGTCTCATACTCTGATTCAAGGCACTTTTAACAAAGGATAAAAAGTATAATTATAATATTTAGTCAAACATAATACATAATATACATAACTATATGTAATTATACGTTAAGAAAGAAGGAACAAGGGTGAGGCATCACTCACTCAGTATACAGTATTCTTCTTTCAGACATGCCAAGAATTTTGTTCCAAATTATAAAGAAAAGAATCACGATCTTGTTTGGTGCCATACTTTTACGTTTAGCAATTTAAAGGCACTATACCTGAACTGTACAAAAAAGGCATGCATTCTGAGCATCACATTTATTCATTGTTCTGAGTTTATAGGCGCTTTTCACAACTATCAAGAGACCGTGCCATGGCAGTGAAAACTAACAACAACTAGCATCCTAATATGCACATTCTGATTATCGGATACCAAAATGTTTTCCAGTTAGATGCACATAGCTTGCAGCAGGCTTTTTTTACTTTCAAATACACATGGAAAAATCAGGTGCATGACCTTTAAGATGGTAACTTATAACACAAACAGCCCAGGCCACATATAATTCTGAAAAAAATATAGGTCAATTTCATGTTTGAAGATCATAACCACAACAATTTTGATTAAATTAAAGTGCATTTGATAGCTTTTTGTTCTTGTTTTTGTTTTGTTAGTTTTTTTCAAATTTTTAGTTAAGTAAAATTAGACCTAAAGTAAAATAAAGTAAAATTAATTAAAACTGGGAAAGGTTTTGATGAAATGGGTAGTCTAACTTAAGCCCTATTCACACAGGATAAGTACAACCTGGGGACGTCTGGTAATTTGCAAATTACCACCTCACCTCTGTGTTACTTGCAGCGCATTCACACGGGATAAGTGAAGTCCGTAATTTACTCTATTTTACTGATATTGACTGAGATTGAACGAGAAAAAGCCGCAACTGCAACAACAAACACTGAGATGCAGATTTGTACAGGACTAGTATTATCACTGGACGTCTGTGTTTGGCAAAATATAGTAGGTAATTTGCGGTGGAGTGTTTAATTCACAAATTGCAGACATGGTGCATTCACACAGGATTAAGATCTCAGGCATCCTCCGCAATTATTACAAATCACTAAAGATCCACAGGTAATACTAATCCCATACGAATAGGGCTTTACACAATCGTACACACTGAAAATAAATACGTAAATGTAAATGATTTTGCAATGTAGTAAAAATGTAGTATTTCTGTCAGTTTAAGACATCCAAAAGGACATGTTGTACTCTAGAGCCTTAATCCTAAACCAGTCCAGCGTGAAGGAGACTCAGCGTGCCATATGTCCCTCCACAGTCTTTACCTTGGCACCAGCGGTTTGATCTAATCTCTTTTCGGGCTCCGTATAGAAACATAGTGTCTGTACAATGCCACGGTTCTTATCAGGTAATGCACAGTTGCCCGGAGAGTGTTAAGCCAGTGACAGTCAGGCAGGAGTCCAACCATGTCTGAAACTTTACCTTTATTTCTTAAGTTTAATTAAAAGTGCACTGTGTAACAACTCTGTATTGCTCCACAGTATGTCCATAAACTTGAGAATCTCCGTGGAGACTTGCAAGCCAAATTACAGGTTAGATTTGTGCAGAGGCGACTCCACTCACAGCAAGAATGGATTTTTTATGTATATATTTGAGCAATAAATAACACCTGAATAAATGCAGGTGCAGACAGATTTGTTTAATACTATACTGTGGACAATTTAAACTAGGGCTCGACCGATATGGATGTTTTTGAAGGCCGATATGATATAAAATTCTAAAAACGGGCTTTGGAGCTGCCGATAGCGGATATAAAAGCCGATATATTTAGTGATGTAAAAATTTATTGTAAATCTTCTCATGATTATAAAACTTAGGTTTGGCTCTACTGGATTTTAAATTGATTTTGTTTAGGCTATATTTATTGTTACGGTGCCTCTTTACAGTCATATTTAAAGACAGTAGGTCTACCTAACGGCATTTTTGCATGACATTCTAGCCAGTAAACAAAGTAAGTAAATTATTACTATCAGCCTTTATATAGTCATATGCGTAAATGCCGATCATTCACACCTCTGTTCTCAGCTCATTTACATATCAATGCGTGTCCAGTAACATGCCCCATAATAGGACATTTATCTGTCTGTAAATTGATGGACATAATATAGAGTTTAAGCTTTATAATGAGGTATTACATGGCCATGTGGACTATCGGTCCATATCGGCAAGATTTAGGCCAATAGCCGATTTGTCTCCAAGTGCCTATTTCGGCCCATAATATCGGCCAACTGATATATTGGTCGGGCCTAACATCTCCATGGTGACGGACCCTCTCCAGAAAAGTTTCACTGTGCACCTTTACCATATGGCATTGCATCTTAATAGCTAAAAAAATAATTTCTTTCAGTAGATTGTGACCTCTCATAATCAAGAGAAAGAAGGTGAGATTAATGTCTTACATAACAAATGACCTGAAACATTAAATTCTGTAAAAACACATTGTCCTACCCAGTAACTATGATATAATTGAATGGGCAATGTCCAATGTAATAAACAACTGCATAATTTAAAACAGTGATTACATCTTTTGATAAACATGTTGTTATTTTCAAGCTAGAATTGAATTAAAATTCACTGTACTTTATTTCGGAAACAATCGCTACAATAGAAATCCACCATGTTTGAGTTAGTAGTGAAAAACTCTCAGAAAAATACTGTCCAAAAAGGTTTAAAAAGCACAATGGAACACCTCAGTAAACTGCTGGGTCACTATTGGTAAACTCTATAGTGTCATAAAACATTTGAATCAACACTAAGTTTAGTTTTTAGTGCCTTAAAATCTCCATTTGTTTAACTTTAGGCTCACTGAAAATCCCGAGCTTTATAGCAGCTAATTTGGAATAAGTGGTATTGTGGCAACTTTCTTGATCACAATGATTTTCAGGACATACTAATATTTCTGTCAAACCTTGATACTTTTTCCGAAGATAATTAAGCAGCGGCTCGAGAGTTCTATCATCACGCTTTATGTCTGTCAGCTGAGCAGAAGAAGGGAAAAGTGTCGAAGAAGACAAACCGAGTCAATGGCTGCTCTAACTCAGCCCACCCCCGTGTCCTGCTCACAAATCCAAAAAAGGACTGGCCAGATGGCTTCAGAAAGGCAACCCAATGAGCATGCGCTGAATGACCGGAATTATTTTTAAGAAGAATAAACATTTACATGATCGAGGAATAAATTAATTCGGCTTTAAAATCGGTATAAACCACCCACTTACTTCGGAATTAAGTTTGATTCTGAATAAACATTTTCATTAGGAAGTAAATGTTTACATGGCCTTTTTAAAGCAGAATCAATTTTAAACGATGATTGCATCTTTGATAAACATGTTCTCATTTTCAAGTTAGAATTGAATTAAAAATCACTAAACTATATTTCTAAAACACTCGCTACAGTGGAAATCCACCATATTTGTGTTAGTAATGCAAAACTCTCATAGAAATATACTAGCCAAAACAGGTTTAAAAAGTAATGGGAGAACCCAATAAACCATTGTTTCCAAAGACTGGGTCGTGACCCTCAGGTGAGTCGCAAGAGATTTTTTTTTGCATTGCCTTGCCACGATCTGCATGTACATTGAAATGTTAAGACAAGTTTTGTATAATTTCTAATCTTTATGTAATTATTTGATTGACTATTTTGTTCCAATATTGCTGGTTCAATTGAATGTTGAAAAGAAAAAGAAACAGGTTACATTTAATGACCAAATAGGCGACTTATTGATCCTTTTATTGCTGGTTCAATTACTGTTTTTTATTGTTTAAATACTAATTGTTCAGAAAGACACGATCACTCAGTCAACAATAAAATATCCTCATTAATGTTCAGTAATGGTCAAATCCACCTTTATTTTGTGATTTACAAATAATAACTACTGACTTGGGTCATGAAGGTTTGTGACTTTAGGTCCCCAGAAAAAAAGTTTGGGAAACACTGCAATAAAATGCTGGGTCACTACTGGTCACTCTACAGTGTCATAAAACATTTGAATCAGCGCTAAGTTTAGTTTTTAGTGTCTTAAAATCTCCCTTGGTTTAACATTAGGCTCACTGAAAAACCAGAGCTTTATAGCAGCTAATTTGGAAATCTGAGTGCGTGTATCATAGCAACCAAAGAGCCAATCAGGAGCGAGGTTGTTGAAGGTACTCGCCTCTTCCAGCGATGGTTTGGCCGGGGGCGGAGCTCAGCAGAAGTCAATGGAGCCAAATCACTATGTTCACTTTCCACTGTTCTAACTATGTCCATTTATAAAGTTTTACAAAATAATAATAAATAAATAAATAAACTATGGATACAACTTTTATCTGTTGTCACCTCCTCAAGGTAGTCTGCATGGTTGATTTCAGACAGCCCCGCCTCGGAAAAATCCAGAAGATTCCTTTTTCCTTCTGCTTCCAAGAGCATAATGGTCCTCAGGTCAATCTTCACTGTGTCCAGCTCCTCCACCACATCCTTAGTAAACTGAAAACACACAAAAATGTTAAATATTTCTGTGTAAATAAAGTTTTGTGTTCTGAAAATGGTTACTCGGCTAATAAAATTTGATCCAAACTAGAACAAAGTTTTCTCAGAGCATGTCTTGTAAATGTGTAATTCTGACAGCAAAAAGAAAAACATGGGATGATTTTTGCGCCACAAGAAACAAGAACACAGGAAAAACTTTGGCAGGGGAGTTGTTTGCTGCTCAGAGGTCGTAGCGGGACATTTGTGGATTCAAAAGTTTTGGGTTTAACAAGTACAAAATGTTTCCACGGCGGCCAAAACTGGAGGAGTTGGAATAAGCTTTAAAGTGACCATGTGTATTCGTGTGGCTAAGAATTCAGATTGGTTGGCTTAAGATCGGTCAGTCTTTTTTGTACTATTTAATATGTTCAGTTTTTCTATCTATTTGTGACAACTGGGTTCATTAAAGAAAACAAACTGTGCTTTTGTCTGTGATGTAGTTATGATCTATAACACCCATGGATCATTATGTTACATTTTGGACATTTTAAATCACAATATTGATCTAAAACAACTTGGTTAAAAGCTCTAAAAAGTCGATTTTGCATAATAGGTCTCATTTTACAGCTATAAAAAACTATTCCAATAGCCATTTTGCGCACACTTTCACGTTAGCAATTTTCAGTTCTCTGTCATAGGCATTTGAGATAAATTACTTGCATTTACATTAAAAGGTCCTATATTACACAAAATGGATTCTTGTGAGCTTTTAGCCAAGTTATAATGCTGTAACTTCATCAAAAACACACCCAGAGTTGTGGTTTGTTTCATTCACACATGAAGAGTGTCACAGAAGGGAGGAAGAAGACAAACTGAGTCAATGGCTGCTCTGCCTCAGCCCACTCCTGCATCTCCCTCACAAATCCAAAAAATCCGAAGCGAGGACTGGAGGATCGCTTCAGAAGGGCGACCCAACGAGCGTGCGCTGAACCACCCGAATTATTTTCAAGAAGAATAAACATTTACATGATCGAGAAATAAATTAATTGGGCTATAAAACACACGTTTGAGTAATCCGGGTTTATTAGTCTGTCTACATCTCCAGAGCTCAAAGGGCTCTGTCCCACCTTGTGATGTCATTTAGTGATAGTCTTCAGGTTAGCAGCTACCTTTACCATAGGGTTACCTTTAGTTCAGTAGGGATTGGCAATTCCAAGGGTGGTATCATCTAAATGATTCTAGCAAAAGTATATGATGTTTAAAAACACAGTGGAGCACCTCATGTATCACAACATGACATCAAAAGGTGGAACAGAGTGTTTTCTGTTTGAGAGAAGAACTCAGTTGAAATATGCAGGATTTGTGTGTTAAACATGTGAGAATGAAACAAAACACAGTAATGTTTGTGATGAGGAAACAACATTATAACAGATCAGAAAATAGGTGAGATGTGCAATGTAAACTTTTGGGTAGAGAGTCTGCCAACTGCATGTATCCATAGAGAGATTATTGCTTTGACTGGATTGTTTCACAGTATGCCATTAAACCTATTTATCTCTAGCCTGATTCATCAGCCGGTTTCACTTCATGGAATCTGACCTTGTAGCTTTAAGATTTGTTCGCTCGACAGTAGGTGGGTACTTTTTTTATTTAACCAATTGCTGCTATTTGGTTGTGATGTATGTCATGTGCCAAATCTCATATGAAGAAGGGCAATAACGTTTTTCCCCTTGATAGAAGTCACCAAACATTCTCTTTGTTCCGGCTTTAAATCCTTGATCTTGGGAATCATTGCCAACACAGAATGTATGGCTTCATCTACATCCATCTCAACCGCTTTGTTTACTGTTGTGCTGTACCACAAAAGGGACACAGAATGGCACATGTGTTTCACGTCATGGCTTCACAGCTCTTCGCTGATTGGCCGGTGCGCAGTCTACAACTTCCGGGGTTCTTGCAAACTGTTTAGTGTATTCTGATTCCTGACCTAGTCACTGGAGAGAAATGAAATTGAGCGGAGGCACTAGGTGGCGCCAGCCTGGTTAATTTATCTCCATGGAGACGAGCCAAGGCCAGATCAATTTATAGGTGGTAAAGCGAGTCCACTCACAGTAAGTTTTTCAAGGTATTTCTGTGCCATAAAAACACGCATGATGAAAGACTGTGCAATCAAATTTTAATTGCGATTTCAATTTCATGTGTCAACGATCTCCAAACTCATATAATCAAGTTGAAACAATTTAAGCTTAACAAAGTTTATTTTGGGGTATTTTTTATAAAAATAAGTATATTTATTTTGTAGAACAGCTGGACGTATGGCTAATTTTGGATACATTCATGTTTTTCTGTGCTTTATTTTATGTTCAAAGTATATTTTATTAATTTTATGTTTTATTAATTTTATGTTTTCATCGCAAAACTGCTCTAAGGTGTATATTTGTAGCCTGTATTTATTTTCAGTTTGAAAGTTTTGCATAAATTATCAATAACAAAAAAAAAAAAAATTATCATTTGAATAATCGTGATTTCAATATTGACCAAAATAAACATGATAATGATTTTTTTTAACTTATACTAATACATATTTTTTAAATGAGACAATATTTGAAACCTGCTTTAGCATCACAATTTTTGCCAAATCCACTTAAAAATGCCAGATTCAAATGTATGACAAATGACCTCTTATCGAAAATGACCTCTTATCTATTTGGTTGTGAACTGGGTGTTCACAACCAAATAGATAAGAGGTCATTTTAACACGTCACCCAAGAACTTCAAGCTACTAGTTACCAAAGTATTTAGCTACTATGTAATGCTAGCATTACCTTTTCAGTAAGTGACGCTCTAATTCACATCATTGACAGTTTTCCTGTAAATACTTCACTGTTCTCCCAAATAAATTCCTGCAAACATGTCTAATTTTATGTATTCTGTTTTACTGTGAGCCGGCGTCTTAAGCACCTCAACAGCCATAAAGCCAGAGCTGTAATATAGTGAAGGAGCACGCCATCAGTCATTTTCCTGTAACTTATTCAGAGGAGGTAAGTACAATCTAATTCTCAGAGCACTTTGCACTTTTTCAAACATCTCAAATAAGACAAATGACTGTAGTACCCGGCAGATGTAGCCCAGGATTAATCAGCTGTTAGCAAATGAAAGCCAAGATGCAGAGTGGCCAACTGGCACCAGAAGAACTAGAGTTTCTGGTAAATCTGCTAATCTGGCAACCGGTCAGGAACTTAGAATGAATTGATTACATTGATGAATAGGAGACGGTGAGATCAATGCAAAAAATACGATCAGCATTACATAATAGAGGTTATGGGGTCGAGTTTAGAAGACTACTAATACATGAATATATGAATTTAGTCCTAATACTAACAGGTAAGAGTTTCACATTTATAAATAGGTTTAGGCTACTTATCTTGGAGCTTGAAAAGGGTGCTGTATCGTGTCACATGAGCTGACAATGATGCATGAAAACTGCCTTTGGCGCACTATAGTGGGGCTAAGGAGAAATCATATTTGACTGACTTTGTTTCTGTTGTAAAGCTCTATAACTTCTTCTCACAAAATAATACATACATACAAGTTTTAGGCTATGTTTATAGGTTTACATAGATTGAGTTATTATTATTAATATTTTATATTACTGGAGTTACTGCAGCCCTATACTCCGCCCAGAGCCCTGAGATCAGCTGACCAGCTCCTGTTGGTCGTGCCCAAAACTAGGCTCAAGACAAAAAGTGACAGAGCCTTTTCTGTGGCAGCGCCCAGACTGTGGAACAGCCTTCCTCTTCCTGTCAGATCCTCTCAGTCTGTAACGCAGTTTAAGACGAGACTGAAAACTCACCTCTTCTCCCTGGCATTTAGTACAAGCTAGTCAGGTTATCTTGGTGTTTGTATTGTAGTTTTCATATGTTTTTTGTACATATGTATATGTAACTGTTTCTTCTATTTTGTTGACTTGTATGTGAAGCACTTTGGTCAGCTGAAGTTGTTTTAAATGTGTTATATAAATAAAGTTGAATTGAATTAAACTGAATTGAATATCTTTATTAGGGTGGTCCAACAAAGCATGGTAAAAAATAAAGTTTCAGATAACCTCAATTAGAACCCTTGGCTGCTAAAATGGTGCATTCCAGGAAAGTTGTGAATGATGTTGCTGAAAAGGGGTGACGCTTATTCAAGATTTCAACTGTAGCTGAACAAAGTTTGTGTTTCAGTTTGTGTTTGCAGTTGAGCAACCTCTAAATACTAATTAATTTTGAACCAAATATTTTGTCCAGATATGGAATCAAATGCAGGGATATAATCTAGAGAATCTAAAAAAAAAAAAAAATTGTACCACCCTAATCTATATTATAATTCATATTCATATTAGCTGTGAACTAATTTATTATAACTTTATTTTACGGATTTTTTAAATTTATCTTTTGAGTTCCCATTTCTATTCTCTTGCTGTTCTTGAATGTTGCAACACAAGAATTTCCCCACTGTGGTACAAATAAAGCTAAAACTATAATGTCTAATTTGGTAGAATATAGAAAATCTTCAATTATATAATGTAAAAACAGGCAGTCATGTGTTTGACGGATTAAAAAGCATTATTCCTTTTGTATACCGTACTATTAGTATTTCACTATATTTGATCAAAGTGAATATTTTTGTCCGCACCATCTGTGAAGATTGTTTACAGTGTCTTATAAGCCTACAATGGCCGGTCACTAATCTACAGGACCGTATAACGAGAAAAATTCAACCCAGCAAAGCCCGGTTCTCTGTAGTAGTGTGGTATTTGGACTGGTCCATAAACACAGTGTAAATGTGTGTGTCCTGATCACTCACATCTGAAGTGTTGAGGAAGGAGGTGATGTTGAAAAGTTTATCCAAGCGCAGAGCCGAGTAGATCCCTTTGTTCTCTTTACAGGTGCTGAAATGCCAACACAAAGGGGAAATCTGTGAGGAGGATAGTCATCTGCTGCCACCCAGTGACAGATACTGGGAGTGCACTTTATCCATATACATTGTGTTTTGGCATGCTTACTACCTCTGACATAACTCTTTACAATGCACAGTTTGGAGGACTGCGTTAAATAATAATGTAATCACAAAGAAATGGAAAGTGTAGTTAGACACAAATGGATTATTGTGCAAGTAGTACTTTAAAAGCAACTGATATTAACACTATCGTGAAACTTGATTACAATTAGGGAAGTGCAAAAATATCTAAATATTGATATATCATGTCCTTTAATGTGATGATACAGTAAGGATATCGTGGGCTGCTATATTTTTTGGTATATTTCACCCAATAATTTTGTTACAGCACTACGGTTTTGTTGCTCATTTAGAAGAAGGATTCTCGACATTCACCATTTTGATGATTAAAATGAGTGTGTTTCATATTAACTTTGCACAAGAAGTGGTTTAACAAAGACTTTTAGTATCACAGCCATGATTTAGCCATTAATTTTTATTTGAAATAAATCGTATCGAACCAAAAAAGCACTGTATTGAGGTATGTATCGTATACGCAACTTCTTAATGACACCCAGCCCTAATTACAATGCAACAATATTACTTATATGGATTTGTCCTGATTTGTTTCTTGCCTGTAAAAGCTCTCCACAGTCAGATCCAGCTCAGGGTCTCTGTAGATGTATCCAGGGAGGAAGTTTTTCCACTCGGGGTTGATAAGATATGGAGTGTCCACCACCTAAAACACAGTGAAGTCATATTTAAAAGATCTAAACTGCAAATGAAATTAGAAATAAACAAAATCTGATGAAGATATTGTAACACTACTGATGCCAGTTCAGATCTAGGCACTCTTATTGTTATGCTTGGTCTACCTTAAAGAGCTCTTTGGTGTGGAAGGCTTCACACACCAGTTTCTCCATGTTCCCTCCAGTCACAAAGATGACGGTGACCACTCCCATGAGCACCCATGAGAACAGGAAGCTGAAGCCGACTCCACTGTGAAACAATCATACATATTTTTAGGTTTAGTATTAAATCAAGCAGCCATGTTTTAAAATGCAGAGTTACTGACGCCATGAGCATAGTTCCTCCTGTGTTGGAGATGCAGCCTCTTGTTGTGGGAGACGCATGTTTGTCGTATCCCAGAGTTCCACACAGCAGGCCCAGGTAGTTAAAGGCCAGCACCAGAACTATCATACAGCACAGGCCAATGCACGCAGCCCATCTGAAACATAAAAAAGAGTTTATTTGCAAAAAAAAAAAAAAAAAAACTATTCTGTGTTATGTTGAAAATGTCTTGCAGTTACTCATACAGCAATACTTTCAAAATCCAAATGTAGCTAGATTACTATCACATCTCTCCTCAATAAAATCCACTCAACATCCACATTATTTTCAGTGGTAATATATCTGTAGATGACAATTGTTAAAAACTTCAAAATGGTGATATCCGTTTTTGCAATCGAACCCTTACTGATGTCAAATATACAATCTATATTTTAACTTTTTATAATATTTTAACTTTTACTCCTATGAAGTTGTTTGCGGGATAAATAATAGTTAGACAACACAATTGGATCTCTTGTGTAATAAGTATAATTAAGTATCGATTAATATCAGGAATGAGCAGATATTTAAATGTACAGTATCAATAGCAGTATCAGAACTGAAAAAGCTGGACTGGTGCATAAATTGTATTCAAGAAGGATAGTTACTTTAATACTTTTTCAAACAATACATTAAAAAACTTATCTGGAGTGTTGCATAAAATGTAAATGTTCATTAACTGTTGACTGCATAATGCTTTGTCAATACCATGACTTGGACTTGAATCAGACTTGAGTCACTATATTTAGGACTTGAGACTTGACTTGATAAAATTGACTAAGACTTGGGACTCGCCTTGGACTTGAAGGTCAGTGACTTGGGACTTGACTCAGACTTGAGGCCTGTGACTTGAGAAGACTTGAGAAGCACTTTTAAATTTGAATTCTTTCTATTCTGACCATAATGATTCACACTAAGATCTTGTCAAGACATTTAAAAAGAAAAAATAACTAAATCAATTTCTAGAACTCTTGTATACTCGATAAATACTCATATATAAATATACCATGGCTTTTTTAAAGTACAATTTAGTTTAAAATTCATATAAATTGCAAAAATCTAAGCTATATTTGGTATTTTGGTTTAAAGACTTGAAAATACTTGAAGCTCAAAGCAGATGACTTGGACTTGGAATTATGGGCCAGTGACTCGAGACTTGACTTGGACTTGCCTGTATTTGACTTGGGACTTGACTCGGACTTGAGACTTCCTTGAGACTTGCAAAACAAAGACTTGGTCCCACCTCTGCCAGACTTACTTAAAATGGGAAGAGTAACCAAAAACCCAGGATTTGAACCCGCTGTACCTGTAAAAGTCCATCTGATCGATTTCCGGGTAGTAGTCCTCGATTTTGGCGTGGGCGTGGCTTATGAAGATGGTGAAGTTGGACAGGCTGCTCTGTACCGGGAACACTTTGGAAAACTTTGTGATGTTTTTGCCAATGTCGTCCACCAAACTCCGTACACCTAAAACACAAAACATTTATTATCCCATTGTTAAGAACTATAAAAAAATGCAACAAAATATCCTCAACTTACTTTCTACCACACTTCTGGTCTGCTCTATCACCATATGGGGCGTGTCGTTTAAAGATGAGTACCCCTGGAAAAGCAAATATTGAGAGTTATTTCAAATTTACCACATAATTTATTAATCCTTTCTATTTGGACTTACCCTGTGGACTATTTCACTGAGGTTTGTTTTTAATACTTCTTTCACCTTTTCCAGTTGAGGTCTGACATTGGGTAACTAGATTAGAAAAACACAAAATATAAATAAACTTTTCTGGCAGACCCTCTTGTCTCCATGTCTCTTTGCCTAGAAAGTTCTACAATATGGCATCAAAATTCCATGGAGACAAGCAGGTGACCCCACTAAGCCAAGTTACAGGCCAGGTCTGTGTAGAGGCGACCCTGCTCATAGTGTTATTTCAGGTATTTTTTTTACCCACAAAACTCCTGCAATTGAATAGATGCAATGTCATATTGTGGCCCCCTGGTGTGGCTGTAGAAACAACGTGACAACCAAACTGTGAGACAACCAGCTCCAGTCCCATTTACAGAATTACTCACAGTGGGAACAATAACTGGAATACGTAGATTTAATATGATTAACTGAGATTCAGGAGCTGGACCACACCTCAACCGCCCTCTTCTCCTTACCAGCAAACCACAACTCACTTTGACCACACCTCTAATATCAGAGAAGCCTATTTGTGGCAGCCTTTGCCATCATCCCAGTTTGTCTCGGCTAATATGCCCCCAACTTCGCACCACCTATCGTGTTCGTCCTTCAGCCATAAGACGCCTATTGGGGGGTCCCGTTCCTGCTGGGCCAACTGAAGATTGAGACGGAGCCCCCACCTAGATCCTCAACCCAGCCATCTCTGTCCCGCCTTGTACTTCTTCGCACTATGTCGTTGTTGCCGTGTTCCTTGTTAGTGAATTTAGTGTTATGTAAAAAAAAAAAGCATAATGCGTAATGGAGCTTAACAGTGACTGCCCACTCCACAGTTTTGGAAGTAAATTTCCCATTAATTTTTCCAAGAAAAGATACTGAAAGTTTGAAAGCTTGCTCAGGACTAATCATTTAAAATCTGTCTCTGAAATATAGACACGCTTTTTCTGTTCCAATATCGATGTCAGTACTTTGTCAGGCTTTAAGTATCTGCTGATATCAACCAATGTTAAGGCAAAGACAAAGTATAATTTATTACATCAACAGCATGAAGTAAAAAATGATCCTGATGTGTTTTGTAACTACTGAACACGTTTGTAAAAATGCAAGTTGAATATTATCATGATTATTGTTGCCAAAATCCGAATCAGTATTGTGTTGGTTGCATCAGTACTTTATAAACCACAAAGTTATTAAAACATTTCGCCCATGTTGGAGGAATTGTGGACTTGTGGGCGACCAGACTCACATATTTTGGGACTGCCCCAATATAAAATGTTTCTGGATTGATGTTAAAGATGTTCTACAAAATATATTGGCTGTGGACCTGTTGATGGACCCAAAGATATTTTTGCTTGATACATTTCCTGATGGTCTCTCTCATAATCAGTGTTTTCTGCTGCATCTTCTTCTGATGACTGCAAGGAAAATGATCATTATCTACTGGCTGAAACCTGAAACACCGACCATTGATCAGTGGATATCAAAAATCAGAAAAGTTTATACAATGGAACTGTTAACGGCTCAACTACAGCTCAAGGTGCCAACTTTTGATAAGAAGTGGAGTCCAGTTATGACTTTTTCTAATAAGACATGTATGCCCTAACATGCCTTATTTTTTATTATTATTATTATTATTTTTATTTTTTTATAAATTTTTGCCAAAAAAATTGGGAAAAAAATAAATATATAAATTGTGTGAAGGCCCAGTCTCATAACACTGTTGATGTGAATTGATTTGTGGCAATAAAAGTTAAAAAAAGAAAAAAAAAAAAAACTTTTTGCCCAATCATTTGTTTTAAATGTGCTTTTTGGACTTAAAACAACCAGATTATGGATATTACTTACCAGATAAGTAGCTGTTTAGCCTCTAGGATGCCTTTGAGCTCTTTATATGCAAATTTCTTTAAAAGTTTATGGGAAAAATGAATGGTAAATTTACTTTCAGAATGGGAGCGTTTCGAAGTGGGAAATATTTCAACTGTGGAGCTCCAAACCCCAGTAGACACGTAGCAGAAAAACTAAAACAGACTACTACCCATCTTTACATTTTCCCTGTACCCTAATCCAAACTTACCCGTGTGAAGTTGGCGCTGATCTGCAGTTGGGACAGAGACTGGCGTATGTTGCGGCACAGTTGGGCGGTGGTGGCATCAGACCCCTCATCGTAACAGCCCGGGTCGTTGAGGGTGCGGTTTATACTGGTGCGTACCAGGCTCAGGTTAAAATTTAGTTTACCTGTGCCGTCTTTTAATATGACCAGAGAGCCGCTCACATTCTCCAGAGCCTCTTTAGTCTCCCGCATGGCTACGGAGGAAAACAGGGGAGGGCAATTATCATTAGAAAACATTAATACAGATATATTATTTTTATTTTAACACAACTCTTCTGTATAAGTTTTATTTTTAACCTTGTGAAACTATAATGATGCCACCTGATGACTTCTGTTTAAAGTGTGTTTACAGACAAGGAAGAGTTTTGTTTATTTGAGTAAAAACAAAAGGGATTTATGAATTATCATAGATTTAATTTCTACTCCTATCTCTTCTCTCAGCAGATGGCATGTTTTGGAGAGTGAGGATAGGTCATATAAAGATTCTGTGGATAAGTTAGTCACCTGTAAATGAAATTATGAATAAATCGCAACTAATTTGAATAGTTCTTGCTGCCCCTCTTTTTTTCATTGTATCTTGTTGCTAATGTAGACAATTCTCTCACATAAACAACTAACTCCTAAGGGAGAAAAAACTGCATTAAGTCATCTAATATAAAACATTTTCCAGTCATTACGGTAAGCTTTTGGCCAAAAACAGTGAATATAGGGGCTGATGGTCCTTTTTAATGAGGATATACATATGCAGGAAGATTTAGACTATTCCATATTCAACATTATTGCTCTGAATTTTAACACATTTCACAAAGACACAGCCAGGGGGCACACTAGAGAGAGAGGGGCCTGAACCGAGCATGACTGCATTATGTGGCTAATATAGAATGGATTATATCATGTAGTTTAGAATAATACATGAGCTAATTCATAAACATGGAATGAAAATTAGATTATCACACTTGCCATTTAGTCGAAATTTGTTTTGTCATCTTAAAATGTAAAGTACAAATTATCAAAATAAGCAAAAGTTTTAAATTACTCAAATGATGCTGTCCAAAATATTTAGATGAAGAAGCATGTGTACTGCTGTTGGCTCGGCTCAGGTCATAGGGGAGTAAAATCACATAGGATTGTCTGTCAGATACACACTGGAAAGACTGATCATAAAAGAGATACAAGATACAACTCAACACTGGGAAAACACAAGTGGAATAGACACAAAGTTTTCAAGGTATGAACTGAAGATAACTAATGAATTGAATTAATATTATGAAGGACATAAACAGCTGCACTTTTTAATTTTAGCATTGAACCACTCATTATGTTCTCTTCTGGGTCAGATTGAATTGAGGTAACTCTGTACACTTAATAACAGAGCCCCAGAGACATATGTTAATAGATCTGAAAGTGTTTTGTTTTGTTTTTTCCCGACTGACATTGATCTACACTGCTTTGAAAACATACCAGATCTCAATGTGAAAAAAAACAGCAGGACCCATATCTGCTCCTTTGTGCAAGGAGGAACAGGTTGAGCTCTGCCCGTGCCCTACAGAATGACCTCCAGCAAGACACTAGTGTAGATGTCTCTACCCAAACAATCAGAAACAGATTTCATGAAGGTGGTTTGAGGGCCACGTCCTATAGTGGGCCCTGTGCTCACCGCCCAGCACTGTGAAGCTCCATTGGCATTTAGTCTGCCACTGGTGCCCTATGCTTTTCACAGATGAGAGTAGGTTCACCCTGAGCACCTGTGAGAGACGTGAAAGAGTCTGGAGAAAACAAGGATGCTGCCTGCAACATCGTTCAGCATGAACAGAATGATGGTGGGTCAGTGATGGTCTGAGAAGGTATATCCATGAAGGAAAACGGCAGTCTGACTGCTACTAGGTATCGGGATGAAATCCTTGAACCCACTGTTAGACCCTACACTGGTGCAATAGGTCCTGGTTTCTTCCTGATGCACGACAAAGCCTGGCCTCATGTGGCAAGAGTCTGCGAGCAGTACATGGAGGATGAAGGGACTGATACAACTGAATGTCTCTCATGGTCACCTGACTTAAACCCAATAGAGGACCTCTGGCACCTTATGTTTGGGTCCATCAGACGCCACCAGGTTGCTCCTTAGACTCTACAGGAGCTCAGTGATGCCCTTACCCAGATCTGGGGGAACATCCCACAAGACACCATCTGCCGTCTCATTAGTAGCCACAAGGTTGTCAAACATGTACACAAGCACGTGGGGGCCACACAAGATATTGACAAGCATTTTGAGTTGCAGAAATTCAATTTTGGCAAAATGGACTAGCCAGCCACATCATTATTTCACTCTGATTTTTTTAATTTTCACTTCTGTCCTTTTGGTTCGAAGAAATGGCCCTGTCCATATTTGTATAGATATCCAACATATATATATTTTTTTTTTTACAGTGAGATCTGATGTGTTTTCAAAGTGTTCTTTTAATTTTTTGGAGCAGTGTATATACGTATATTACAACATATTTTACAATTTAGGAGAGGCACCTCAAAATTACCACAAAGGGAAAACAAAGGAGCAATTAGATCACAGCAAATAGGTGACTGGGCACAGGGGTCATACAGAGCTGTTACCTTTCAGGGCTCTCTCAATTCTCACTTTATGGAAAAAATAAAGGCAAATAACTTATGTGAAAAAAAACTTTGTTAAATAATGTTATTTAGAAAATGTATGTAAATAATAATATAAACATATTAAAATAAATCTAAATATTGTTAGAAATGAACAAAAGTGAAAACTATATTAGGTTCTATTCTGGGCATTAGTCTGATATCTTCTTATAAGGGATTCTATGTGACTTTATTAGTTTTGTGACGATGCTATGATGCTATCACGAAGAGGAAATGAAGAACGAACCTCCAGCCATATTGAGCACTCGGTTCAGGGCGGGGTGCACCTCCTTATCCAGCTGACCGTGTATCCTTCCCCCGAGTAATGGGCCAATGTCTGCACAAGATACAGTCCTACGTCAGCGTCATATCAATAGAAACTTTATTACATTTATGAGTGAGAAAATAAAAAAGAAAATGGAAATGCAAGTCAGTTTTATAAGTTATATGTTTTTGAATATGAATGTTATTGCTGATGCTTTTGTATGATCAGATTTCAAGTTTATTAATGACATATTGAGACTTTAATACAGTCTGACTTTGTATTAATACAAATGTATTAATTATTTACTTTTAATAGTTAGTCATATTAGTTTTAATATGACTACATTTGACAATTTTTACGTCTTTTTCTATTTATCCATTAAACTACTTAAAGACACTTAAAAAAAATAATAAATAAACTTGCTTAGTCTATTGTCAAATAATTTAGCTAAATCAGTCCACATATCTTACAGTCTAGATATAGAAGGTCAACAAATTATAATAAAGAAAACATTAAAATTCATTAAATTATTTCCATATATTTGAAACAAATGTGTCTCGCACAGTACAGATTAATTGTACCAGCAGCTCTTGGGATCAAAATATGCCTGCTGTGTGGTGTCTGCATCTAATTCAATATCATTTTATTTTTCAGTAATCAGGAAGAGTGCATTTGTATGCTAGCTGTGATGGCAAAACTCCACGCTGATCTCTCAAAGTTGTGAAAAGTGCTTGCTCACTGTGGTGAATAATTAGGATGAAAAATAACTTTGGACCACTGCAAACTGCTTAAAAAACTAGATCTATTATTCATGTTTTTACGTTTAATAGTTTTTAAGTTTTTGTTTTATAATTTGGCTTTGTTTTCTTTTTTTTATCTATAAGTAGGTTGAAAACACATGGGGTGTACAGAGTTTGCAGCCTAGCCCCAGTTCTGTCACCCGTGCATGGAGTAAACAAGTGCAGACTAAACAGGAAGTGCACATAATGAGAATATTCTATGAGCCGTTCATGTCGATTGAATAGAACATGAGAGGAGCTCTGAGCGGTACTCACTATCCAGGTCGTAGATGACTTTGTTCTTAGCAGTGGCGTACTGGGAGATCAGGTAATCGATTTGCTGTAAACACAAAACACAAAAGGAATTATTTACTGTACATCTCAGGTTTTAAAATTTAACTATTCTGGTTCTGTGTGAAAAAGACTGAAAAACAAATCTGCTCAATTCTAATTTCGATACCAGTTGTAGCATCGATTTGTATCCGATTTGTGACACTTTTGATAGCCCAAATAACACTTTCCCATCTTACCGTATTTTCCGCACTATTAGGCACTCTGGATTATAAGGCGCACTGTCATAGAATGGTCTATTTTTGAACTTTTTCACAAATAAACCGCTGCGGACTTTAAACGAAACACAACAGTTAGATGGCTCAGTCGGACTTTGTTTGGCGCGTTCTCGGTGACTCTGGGCTTTGTTCAATTGTGGCGTGTAGGGAGGGTGCTGTCTGGGATCGCTGGACTGTTGACGTGTTCACAGTGACACAGTTGTGGCTAGAAGTGGCACATTGCACTCGCTTTTTCAGTTCGTTTCTCTGTTGAATTCCTCGTCCGCATGGAGTGATGAGTGTGGCTGCGGGTGTTTTTCGCTGCGCGGTTGCTGTCTGCTCCGTGTGTGTTTGCGTGCGCTGCAGGTGGTGCGACTTTGTAGTTTTACTGAAGTCGTGCTGGGACACCCGAGTGGGTTCGTGTATAGGGCGCTCTGTATTGAGGAGCGCGCAGTCATTTTTGATGGGGTTGGAGGCTTAAGAGCGCATCCTATAGTCCGGAAAATACGGTACTTATTGAGTAATACTAATACAACATAGACAACAAGGAAGTATAAATAATTGACATGTGTATTAGTATTTCACAGAGACTACTCATATCAAAGCAGATTATTTAGCTTTATTATTATTAAAACAGAAGTACCATTGGTGTATCATTGGCAAAGGTGTGCAGGTCCCTCATGTTGGTATTGACCAATCTGCGGATGTTCTTCACCTGCGAGCTCAGGGTCTGGTTGGAGGCATAGGCACACAAAACTCCAATCCTGCAACACAGAAAACAGATATTTAGGTACTTCAGTATTATTATATATTATATAATATATTAATTGGATATGAAGATCTTTTCTGACAAATCTGTGAATCTGTAATGAGTCGGGCTGCAAGATTAAAGTACATATGACATGTGTATGTATATATACATAGATTTTATTTACATATTTTGTTTTTGCATTTTTTTTTTTTCAGTGTCTGTTATGTTTACGGGCATGGGGCTGGGGGAGGGTAGTAGGAGTTTATGGGAAAATAAACAAATAAAATACATCGCAAAAAAAAAAAAAATGCCTAATGACCAAAACACAGTTAAAATCATTACATTTAAGATTTAAGATGAAATTTCTCTTTTTTTCCCCAGTTTGGCCAATTTGTTGAGGAATGATATTACTGTTACCTAGCAACCATGTAGTAGACTAGGCCAGCACTCTCTAATGAACACGGATATTTTTATTTGACAAAGAAAAATACGAGGAAACACCTTTTTTGAAAATAATGTTCAAAGTGAAAAATGTGTTAAGTGCAAATTGTGACAAACGTTTTGGACAGGTTTCTCCCCAGTGTAATGTCATCAGTATTGAGTTTTTAAACAGAACACTCTCCTTCGCTTAATTTTCAACATATTTTTCAACTTTTCTTCGCAAATTGCTTCTTGATTGGTATAAAATTATAATTTATATTTACAACAATTATTATCCCATCAGATTAAGCCAAAATTAGATAATCATAAAAACCATACACACTTTAATCGCAATCAAATCAAAATTGCAATTAGAATAATCATTGAGTCGTATTTAGAAGTAACAAAAAGAATAAGAATAATAATTCTGCAATGGCACTGTAATGACAATAGCACCTGTCTTATACTACTGAGTTCAAGTTTACCAAGTTGATTTATCATAAGAGAGCCTTTTTAAATTTATTGTAAACTAGGTTGCCAGATCCTGTAACAAAAAGTAAAGAGATCACTCAGCTTTGTGGTTGGATTAATAAACCTACAACAACAACAAATACAACAAATAAACACTATGGAAATACAACCTTATCAAAAATAATTAGTCATATCTTCAAACGTAAGATATCTTGTTTAGAAAATCTGTAATATCAGCATTAGATTTGAGCAGGTTTACTTCATATCCAAGGACAGAGATTGGTTTGTGAAATATTTATGAATGAATTTTGACGTTTTAGATTAAAGCAGCCCATAAATATAGTAATATTGTATTAATCTGCATTAACAAGTAGTAACATCGGACAGGCAGTAGAGGTCAGTATGAACCAGCACTTTTACTAAAGACGACCTAAAAGTAATTTCTGAAGAACACTAAATAGCAAAAATGAAGTTAACAGCAGCATTTTGGGATAATTCCATATGTTTATCTTCATACAACAAAATGGACATAAATTTTATCTTGTAAATATCTTCAAATTAAATGCAAAAAAAGACAAAAGAGACAATTCAGAGCTTCCAATCTGCTCTAAAATTCATTTTACTTTATCTTAAATGAGACTTAACTATTGATACTTTGCAGCTAAACGTGAATGTGTTGTTTAATTTAGTTTCTTTTTTTTTTTCAGGTTTTCTTAAAACTTTTTTGGCTGTGTTTGCAAATGTGTGCATTGCGTCTCAATGGTAACTACTGAACATACCACAAATATACACCCATGTAGTACGTATAGGCACATATAGACCATAATATTCACTTTCCATGACTCATCGCACCACCCTACAGCAAAAAGTACATCAAATATTCGTAAGTTTTTGTTATTAATGAGTCTATTTGATGTCCATAACTTTGTGAATGATGCAATGTAAAGTAGAGCGCGGAGGGTAGGATCAGTGGAGAGGAGGAGTGAGTCATTGAATAAAGAGGTAGGAGGAGAGGAGGTGGAATTTACAAAGATGACTGATGAAAAGAGATATAGAGCCAGAGGTTACATGCTGTGTTGACTTGTATTTGAATAAGTTAAAGGGCCTGTATTATGCTATTTTCTGGTCTGTGTTGTAATGCAGTTTCCTCATTAAAAACGTGCTTGAAGTTTAGACTATGGAAAACACTCTGTTCCACCCTGTGATGTCATGTGGCAAGACTTGAAATGCTCCACTGTGTTTTTAAACTCCATACACATTCACTGGAATCATTTGGATTATTGCGGCCCTGGAATGGTCAATCTCTACTGAACAAAAGATAAAATGTAATGGTTAAATTGAAAACTACCACCATTATAAAGGGTTACTCAAACATGTGTGAAGGAAACAAAACACAACTCCAGGTCTGTTTTTGGAGAGGTAACAACATTGTAACATGGTTAAAAGTTCACAAGAGCCCATTTTGTATAATATAGGTCTTTTAAGACTGAAAAAAGGAAAACATATTTAAATGCTATACATGTACATACATAGACTTAAGAGGATTTGAGTTTATACTGTAAGTCAATTTTAACTACTTAAAGCTACCATCCGTAATTAGATTGGCCGACCCACCACTGTTGCATTCTTACATAACACCACTAGACACCACCTGTGTAACTACTCTCTGAGTGTGTCAGCTTTATTCTGACTGAAGAAGACCAGAGGTCAGGTGAGGGGAGCTACCTACTGGTCTACTTGCAGATGGTAGCTTTAAAAGATGCACTGCGTAACTTTTTGGGAAGGTGTCTGCAATGTGATAGTCTCCATGGTGATGTGAGGTTTGCCAACAGTTTGTCATTGTGGCCAGTGTCAGGCACGTTACTTTGAAAAAGTAATTAGTTATAGTTATTTATAGTTACTTCTCCCAAAAAGTAAGTGAATAAAAGTAATTAGTGTGCCATATTTTCCGCACTATTAGGCGCTGTGGATTATAAGGCGCACTCTCGTTGAATGGTCTATTTTCAAACTTTTTTCACAAATAAACCGCTCCGCACTTTAAACAAAACACAACAGTTCGATAGGTCAGTCAGACTTTGTTTGGTATGTTCACGGTGACTCTGGGCTTTGTTCAGTTGTGGCGTGTAGGGAGGGTGCTGTCTGGGGCCGCTGGATTGTTGGCGTGTTCGCAGTGACTCAGTTGTTCAGTTGTGCCTAGAAGAGGCACATTGCACTTGCTTTTTTGGTTCGTTCCTCCGTTGGATTCCTCGTCCGCTGTGGAGTGATGAGTGTGGCTGCGGGTGTTTTTCGCTTTCCGGTCGCTATCTGCTTCGTGCATTTTTGTGTGCGCTGTGGGTGGTGCGGCTTTGTAGTTTACTGAAGTTGTGCTGGGACACCCAAGTGGATTCGTGTACAGGAAATATCTAGTAAATAGTGACGCAAATATGAGTCCTGCTGCGTTACGTGCACATCCGTGAGTTCATGGATATAATAACAGTGCGGAGCTGTGAGAACAGCCGGAAAGGAGGCTGCAAAACCTTTGACACTGTCTACAGTCCTTGACAGTAAGTGTGACTTCGCTGTGTGTTTTAAAGAGGACTTTATTCATTGTTTAATCATATGAGTGACAGCCCAGTCAAATGACAGCTTCAATGAGTAGCTTTGTTAAGGCGCAGTAATGGCATGTTGGTAATGGTAATGGTGTTATAACGATAGAAAAGGTAATTAGTTAGATTACTTGTTACTGAAAAAAGTAATGCTGTTAGTAACTGTTATTCCCATCACTGATTATGGCATAAAACCTCTATCATACACATACTGAAATTAATCATTCCTATTGCTGCAAAATTATACTGAAAAAACATGTTTTCCTCCTGTGATCAAAGTTATCTCTCCACAGATCCGACCTGTAAATTTGCCTTTACTGAGGAATGTTCTAAGCTATGTCAGCATTAATATAAACAAGGAGGCAAGCAGGTGGTCATAATGTGACAAAGATTTTCCTGTTTTGCATTGTTTGAGACTCTCTCTCTGCACACTTATCCATCATGATTTCCCCCACATAAAAGGCATTTCCTTCATTCTCTGGCAGCACAAAGCGTTTGACTTAAGCGTAGAGTTCTCCTCTCAGTTTAAGAAGCAGCCTCCCCCATAGACCGCACACTTCCACCATCACTTCACCTTTATTTAATACCACTTTTATAGCGCGTGTGACAGAAATATATTTACCGAGCCTGGGAGATTTGTATAAGCCGATTGGAGCAGTATGGAATATTCAACGACTATATAAGAAGTGCAGGAAGGTGTGGTACGCAAAGCAGTATGGGTATTAGGTCCCATGTTATTGTAATGTAATAAATAATGTGTGTGATAGTGTTTGTTTATACACAGTAACATTAATGATAAACTTTAAGGGTCTGTACCCGATTTTTCCTCTGTATGTTTGAGCAAAATGTGTCATGCCCCTGTACATATAAGCAGCTCTTAGAAAGCGTTGTGATGTTCGATAATCAGTTGCTATGGTCCCTGAAAAGTGCTAAACTCATCATGATCCATAATTAGAATACTCTGAATGACTTTGGACCAGTTTTTTTTATGTTTTTAAGATAGTAAAATTAAAGGTACAGTGCCTTTAAAGCTATAGATTAGAACCCAGAGACCTAAGGCAAAGTTAGAATTATATGTTAGAAGATGTTTTGAGCTGGTTTATAGTTGATATCTCAGCATTATTAACAGTCAAGAGAAACTGTTGAAAAATATAAGGTTAAATGTATTGATTTCTTTCAGTAATTTCCTCTAAAAACTGAAATCAGAACTCAGAATCAACTTTTCAGAGCTTTGATGCATGTTAAAGTTGTTTGCCCTTCTCATTTACCCTCTTGAAGTTGTATCTGGAGTGATTTGTGCATGTTTGAGCAGTCTTTAATCACTTATTTTTAAGACGTCATGTTGCTGATCAGCCCCAGTTTACAGCACCATACGCCCACTATTCTGTACTAACTTCGTTCTCCAGTTTTTTTGTTATTGGAAATCTCATGTAGGCTATTTTTACTGTGGTGATGTAGCCGTTTTGCTTGCCTTTAGTTCTGATCAAATAAGCAGAGCGGTGTGTGGGTGTGCATAGTTATAATGACATTATGTTAT